TTGGGGGGGGGGGGGCCGTTCTAGGAGAATTGGCGTGGGGAGCCTGGTGGAGGGAGTGTGTGTAGAGTGCTGGTGAGAGTTCAGGAATAAAGAGTTGCTGTTTGAACCTTCAAGGCTTTGTGGCGGCTCGGTTAGTTTGTGCCCAGCCAGACTGCGGCAGAGACTGTCTCAAATTAAAAATAAAAGGACTGGTCTGGGGTGGTGGCTCAGTGGTAGAGCACTTGCCTGGAATATGTGAAGCCCTGGGTCCGATTCTCAGCACCACATAAAAACAGATGAATAAAGTAAAGGTTCATGAACATCTAAAAAAGTATATTAAAAAATAAAATAAAATAAAAGGACTGACTATATAGCTTAGGGTAAAGTGCCCCTGAAGAAATTTGGAACCTAATCTTGAAGCTCTGGGTTCCATCCCCAATGTCAGAAAAAAAATTTCTTTTGACTTATACACATATTTATTCGGTATCTTAGGTTATTCAAAGAGTAAACAGTTTGTTGAAGCCATGACAGAAATCAGCAGACCTGGCTGACCTGCTGCAGGGCCCTGCTTGGCACGGACAGCTTCTCCTTGTAACGTTCTTCTCCCACGTAGTTGTTGGTGCTCCTGTTTTAGATGTGTCGTCACTTCTCTTTGGTGTCAAATTCCCCATTCCTGGATGGCATTAGAGCAGATTATGCTAACTGAAGTTAGCCAGTCCCAAAAAACACAAATGCCAAATGTCTTCTCTGATATAAGGGGGGGGGTGACTCAAAATGGGGTAGGGAAGAAGAGCAGGGGAAGAAGATTACCTCTAGATAGGGAAGAGGGGTGGGAGGGAAAGGGAGGGAGAAGGGGAATTGCATGGAAGAGGGAAGGAGACCCTCATCCTTATACAGAATACAGGTATGACGATGTGAGGGGGAAAAAAAAAAGAAATGGGTCACATTAGATTGGGTAGATAGAAGTGATGGGAGGGGAGGGGAAAGGAGGGGAAGGGGGGAAGGGAAGGACAGCAGAATGAAATAGACTTTATTATTGCTGTGGGTATATATGTGACTGCATGACCAATGTGATTCTGCAACCTGTACACTCAGAAAAATGAGAAATTATACCTCATCTGATTCAAATGTATGAAATGTCAAGGTCATTGTACTGTCATGTGTAACTAATTAAAACAAATAAAAAATTTTTTAAAAATTCCCCATTTCCTGGCACCCAACTCTTCCTTCCATTTGTTAATTCACCTGTTCATTTTTAAAAAATATTTATTTTTTAGTTGTAGTTGGACACAATACCTTTATTTCACTTATTTATTTTTATGTGGTGCTGGGGATCAAACCCAGGGTCCCGCACGTGCGAGGCGAGCACTCTACTGCTGAGCCCCAGCCCCAGCCCCAGCCCAGCCCCTTACTTGTGCATTTTTGAAGTCTGTCTAATGGAGCTTCCTCAGAAGACCTGCCAGTGTCTCTGTTCAGGCTTCCTGCCTGGTTGCCAGTTGGGCCCCGCCTGGGGTTCCAGGATGGGATCCTTTCCCCTCAGAATCTCAAGGGCAGCTCCACTGTCTCCTTACTGCCTGTCTGAGCCACTAGAAGCCACATTGCCCAGTTGCCACTCGGTGCCCATCCTGCCCAGAAAAGAGCAGCCCTTATCCTCTTTTACCCTTTGCCTCTCTGGTCTCGGGTCCAACTCCCTCCAATCCCGTGAGGTTTTTCAGAGCCTCTCCTGCTCTTGTCCTGCCTCAGGTGTCCATCACCCTAATTCTGCCTCCCAGAAGCCCAGGATGGGGTTCTTGTGGATGGGGCAGGGAAACCAGGAACCAGAAATCGTTAAATGTATCCCTAGTGCAAAAAATATACTCCAAAGTCTGTCCTGCTTTTTCACCTGCAACAGGGCATTTGGCCCAGAGGAGTTGGAAGGTTCCATTGGAATCAGAAGGTGGAGTGAATTTGGTTGGAAGTTTTCTGGGAAATTAAGGGCTTGCCCCTACACCTAGTTAAGAAGCTCTGTTCTAAACCAGGTGTGGTGGCACTTACTTATAATCCTAGCTACAACAGGAGGCTGAGGTAGGAGTCTCCCAAATTCAAGGCCAGACTCAGCAGCTTAACTATACCCTGACTCAGAATAAAAGTAAAAAAGGGCTAGAGTGTGTGGCCCTTGATCAATTCCCACTACCAGGCTAGCAGGGGACGGGGGTGAAGCACTGCTATATATGACCCTTTATTAAAGTGGCATAAAAATCTTGTCATATGCAAATAAAGAAAGAGGTTAATATATATGGTACCAGGGATTGAACTCAGGGGCACTCAACCACTGAGCCACATCCCCAGCCCTATTTTGCATTTTATTTAGAGACAGGGTCTCACTGAGTTGCTTAGCACCTGCCTTGCCGTTGCTGAGGCTGGCTTTGAACTACAGATCCTCCTGCCTCAGCCTCCCGAGCTACTGGGATTACAGGTGTGTGCCATCACGCTCAGAAAAATAGGTTAATATTTGCAACATAGGCATGCCCACGGGACTGACCAGAAAGGACTAACAAGATGATCAGAAGGGACATCCATAGAAGAATAGGTGACCGAAAATATCTCCCACTTTGGAAGCAGAAAGGGGGCCATTCTTCCTTCCTCTGTCCCCTCAGTGGGCTTAGCAAACTGGCCATTTCTGCTGCAGCTTTTGATGACCCACTGGCCTCACTGACCCTGCTTGCACCTCCCTGGGCCTTTCATTCCTGCAGGAGTCCATAGCTGTTAAGCAAGGGCCTGCTGGGTCTTCTGCTGGCTGCTTGGTGTCAGGACCCCCTCCCCATGTTTGAGAGCTCCCCACCTTATGATTCTTGTTGGAAGGTCCTTCGCAGGTGGCAGTCATCAGAGGCCCAGCCCTGCTCTTGGACATCTAGCCGGCCACAAGGTGGGGAGCAGGGATACCAGGGTGGAGTTTGCAGTGGCTAGGGAATGGTCATGATGCGGGAGGAAGATTTTCTTTTCTTTCTTTCTTTTTTTAATATATATGTATTTTTAGTTGTCCATGGACCTTTATTTTATTTATTTATGTGCGGTGCTGAGCATCAAACCCAGTGCCTCACACATGCTGGGTAAGCGCTCTACCACTGAGCCACAACCCAGACCTTTTTCTTTTCTTTTTTTTTCCAAACACAAGTTGAGTATCTCTTATTTGAAAGAGATGCAAATAAAGTGTTTCAGATTTTAGAATATTCTCATGTATACGAGATATTTTGGGAAGAGGGCCCAAGTGTAAATATGAAATTCATTTCTTTTTTTGTTGTTGTTCTTCCTAGTTACACGTGACAGTAGGGGTATTTGACATACCTCACATTCATGGAGTAGAGCTTCCTGTTCTTGTGGCCGTACGTGACGTGGAGTTTCACTGGTCGTGCATTGATTCATACATGAACATGGGAAAGTGACGTCTGATTCCTTCTCCTGACTGAACCATTCCCCTCCCTTCCCTTCCCTTCATTCCCTTTCGTCTAATCCACTTCGTCTTCCTCCCCTGCTATTTCAGTCAGCTCTTCCACGGCTGTGACTAAAAGACCCAACTGGCACAATTGTAGAGAAAAAGTTCATTAGAGGGCTCAAGGTTTCAGAGGTCTCAATCCATAGACAGCAGGTGCCATTCCTTGGGGCTCAAGGTCTGGTAGAGGGAAGCCACTCACTTGGTGATCAGGAGCAGAGAGAGACTCTCAAAGGGACTCTCCCAGGGATCCACCTCTTCTGTCCGCACCCTACTCACATTCAGTTGCCACTCGGCTAGTCCCATCCAGATTAATTAATTGACTGAGTTAAAACTCCCACAATCCAATCATTTCTCCTCTAAACCTTCTTACATTGTCTCACACACGAGCTTTTGGTGGACACCCAATATCAAAACCATAAGACCTCTTATTATGTGTTAGCATCCACATATCAGAACATTTGGCCTTTGGTTTCTTGGGACTGGCTTATTTGAAATTCAATTCTGTTTCAGGTCCACCTTGCATACGAAAGGTGGCTTGTGTGGCTCAGTGGTTAAGTGCCCCAAGGTTTCATCCTCAGTACCCAAAATAAATCTTTATTGTGCCAGGCACACACCTGTAATCTCATGTAATCTCAGCAACTCAGGAGAATTACAAATTCAAGGCCAGCCTTAGCAACTTAACAAGACCCTGTCTCAAAATTAAAAAAAAAAAAAAATTAAAGGACTGGGGATGTGGCTGTCAGTGGTAAAGTGTCCCTGGGTTCAATCCCCATTATGCACCCCCCAAAAAACCTAAAACATTTATTGTGAAATGTTTATTTATGAGTATATAAAACACAGCAAAGGGTTTAAAAAAATTAAAAAAGCAAACACCCTTGTAAACACCACCCAGACCATGAAAGTAGAACATTTCAAGTAAAAAAAAAAAATTACATTGGGCTGAGTATGTGGCTCAGTGGTAGAGCATTTGCCTAGCATGCACAAGGTCTGGGGTTCCATCCATCCCCAGCCCAGAGAAACAAAGCAAAAACTGCCAACAGTCTAGCATCCCCTTTTTGGAAATGAGCACAAATAACAAACATCTTCATGGAAACATGTTCTGGAATAGCAAAATCCACACTGAAACAAAAGGAGTTCACACTTGCCAACACCTACACCCACCATACATCTGATTCCCATAACCCACAGGTTGGGTTAATGAGAGTTGGAGTACCTGTCATGCCAACTTGCCTAAGTCACCTGGCTGGTCAGTGACGGTGGGGGGCAGTCATGTGGCTCAAGGCTGCTTCACTGCAGCCTTGCCTATAAAAAAAATTCAAATGCTCATTACCTGAGCTGGGCGCAGTGGTACACACCTGTAAAAAATCCCAGCAGTTCAGGAGGCTGAGGCAGGAGGAACACAAGTTTCAGAGCCAGTCTCAGCAACTTAGTGAGTCCCTAAGCAATTTAGTGGGACTCTCAAAATAAAAAGGGCTGGGGATATGACCCAGTGGTTAAAGTGACCCTGGGAACAATAAATAAATAAATAAATAAATAAATGCTCATTGTGTTAATGACAAATAAGTTTACTATAGGAATTTAGCCTAACCATAAATATGGCCAAAAATTCCTGCTAAAAGTATTCATCAGCAATACTTTTATAGCCAAAAATAAAACAATTTAAATGTTCAATAATGGGAAAATAAATTTGAGTCATTAGAATGTTTCTTGGAGTCGTTTGTGGCTCACTTGCCCACGTGCTGACCGATCCTTCCATCTGCATGGTCTCCTGGCAGGTAAACTAGGGCTGATAGATCTTATTTGGTCCCACATGCTCTCCTGGAAGGCTACACGCGCGCTGCTCTAGTGTGCCAGGCCCAGGTAATGCTAAGAACTAGGTTCTGCTCGGGGATAGGGTCTCCTATTTCATCCCCTTCTGGCCCGTTTCCTTCCAAGTAGCTGGAAAGGAAACTCGGTTGGGGCTCCCCATTGCCTCCCTCTGACTCAACAGAGGCCAATACCTTGTTGTTTTAGACTCTGGCCTCAGGTCCCCAGGTCAGAGGCTGGCCTGCACCTAGGCATACGAGGCACAGTGGTACCTGTCCATAGCCAAGAGTTCCACCCTGTGCCTTCCTCAGCTGAGACCTGAGCTCTTTTCCTGGGACCCTGGAGGGAGCTCGGCTCCAGGCTGATGGCACAGGGTGAGGGTCCTCCCCTCCAGGAGCCAGAAAACGGGGCAAAGGGGCCGGTTGAAGAGGGCATGGAAGGTGTGCAGGAGCTTAGTCTGCGGCTCCAGGCTGTAGAAAGCAAGGCAGCCTGAGGTCAGGTCCAAATCCATGCCCACCAGCCGCCCAGACAAGCTGGGGAGGCGCTGGACCTCTCCCTTGTGCCAGGCCTGGACGCTGTCTTCCTGTACGCAAAGGCCCCAGGACGAGGGTCCACGGCCGATGTTGTCTGTGTGGGTTCCCTGCTTGCGTCGCATCAGTTCTGGGTAGGCGACACCCAGGGTCACTGAGTGGCCAGAAGTACGCACCTCCCAGTAGTGCCGTCCAGCCTGGAAGCTCTGGGAACACTGCACCTGCCAGAGCTCAAAGTTCCCTGGCCGGGCTGGGCCCTGGGGCTGGCGATGGTGCTTCACCTGCTGGTTCTGGTGGGACAGGAGGAAGTGGCGATTGGCACTATCTGGGTCAAAGGTGAGATTGCGATAATCTGTTGGGGAGAGACGGACAGAAGTAGGTAAAGGTGCCATCCTATCCCCAGGGGCGGGGGGTGAGCAACCACCAAATGTCTGCCAGGCTGAGCACTGGGTGTCTTTGCAGCATTTAATCCTTACTGCTTCTTCAGAGGTGGAATCGTCTATGACCTCCATTTCATAGGTGAGAAAACTGAGGCTCACGGCTCATAGATAAGCTAACTGGGTATCAAGTGAGAGACGAATCATGATAGATTAATGTCTATGTGATCAGAATCTGTCCTTTAACACTATGCTGGTTGCACCTGGTGCAGGGTGGATGTGGACGCGGTGTGTATCCTGCAATAGGTATGCACGGGAAGGACGGGAGGACAGATGACCTACACAGGACAGTCACAGCAGGCGCCTGCTGACACGCTCACACGTATGCACAGACATGCATGCACAGTACACACAGACAGGCCTTGGGCCTCCTTACTCTGCCAGAGTTCCCTCCTCAGCGGACACAGCATGCGTGTGCTTGGGACCTGTGCCAGGGGACGCGGGGCCTCTAGGGAACAAAGCAGTATTAGGGGAATGGATGTGGAGGCCAGCAAGGCAGACCCCTGACCTTTTCTGCCTCTTAGTGGGAGGAACAGCTGGGCCCAGACAGGTAGGGGGAGGTCTGGGGTCAGCCTTACCCAGAGGGCCCGAGTCAGCAGTCTTGGCTGGCACTCTGGAGGGGTGCCCCTCTTCCAGGAGAAGGCCACAAAGCAGGCTCAGCAACTCCTTTAGGTCACCCAGCTGCTGGTCTTCATCCCACTGTGGAGGGGTCAGTGGCCCAAGGGGTTCTGGGGGCTCAAAGAGCTGCTGTGACTCCTGAGAGCCCCAGCGAAAACCACAGTGAACCCAGGTACAAGGGCAGGGAAGCCTGGCCCCGGTCCACTGCCCTCAGGCTGGTACCTGCAAGAAGGTGTGGTCATCCACTTGCTCCAGGAGACCCTGTACCCTGCAGCCATATTGAGCCAGGGCCTCCAGGTGGCTGTGCAGCCGCCGCTCCTCATCCTGGGCCTGTGTCAGTGCCTGTGTCTTGGCAGTCTCGATGCCTTTCAGCGCCATGGCCCTCCGTATCTCCAGGGCCTGCAGCAGGCAGCTGAACTTGCCAGAGACCACTGAGATCAGATTGCAGGCTGAGTTCTGTGTGGGCACAGGAGGAGCATCAGGGTGGCCAGGGCCTGAGCCACGCCAAGGCAGACCTGGGTTCAGGTGTAGGATGCGGAGAACCTCTTCCCCCTGGGGCAGAATCCTGCCTAGGCCCTCACTCCCTGCTGCCAGGAGGTGTTTTCAAGATGGCTCACATATCCAGGGACCATCTGGTGACTGTCCACAGGACAGAGTGAGGATGTAGTGGGATGACCACTGGCAGGCCTCCTACCTGGATCTGGCTGCTTTGTTGCTGCAGCTCCTGGAGCTGGGTCTTGGCCTGAGTGGCCTGCTGCTGGGTGATCTCCAGCTTGGCTCTCAGCTGGACCTGTGGTGCCCATCCAGGGGACGAACAAGAGAGGGCCAGAATTGGCTGTGAAATCTCCCTGAGACTACCACCACCACCACTAGCAGAAGCTGGGCACCCTCTGCATGCTGCCCAAATCTGGGGTGACCAGAGGGTTAGCACACAGCAGCAGCCTCAGCATAAGCCTAGGAGAGCAAGGTCAAACTCCAGGGAGGCCTGGACAAGGCCTCAGCTTCCACTGTTGCAGATGGTGCATGGGCAGCACAGAAGCCTTGGGTTAAAGACCCAACTTCCAGTTCCTGCTTCACTTATGCCTCTTGAAGTGTGAGCAAACTGGGGCAGAGCCTCTACCTCTGTGGGCAACAGCCTCTTCTCCACCCGCAAGCAACAGATGGGAGCAATCATGCTGGTGCAGGAAAACTGTGGGGAAAGGGCATCTGACAACGTACCAGAGCTGTCTGACAAGTGGGTGCTCTGGTGCATATGGGCCCAAGTGGGAGGGGGACCTCTATTTGGTTGCACTGATTCCCTTGAGGAACAAAATGTGTTCTCATGGGAACAGGAGACCATGCTGATGCCAGGAGTCCCTGTTCCCCGGCCACTGCTAGGACTGGTTCCTTGTACCTGGTCAAGAACCTTACTACTCAATTCTGCTCCTCCCAGTACCGTTCTGAGGTGGGACCAGTATCCACTGATAGGAAACGGGCTGAGAGAGGCTGACAATTTGGTCAGTTCTCAGAGCTTTCTAAGTCTAATACTTGTGGCTTCTGCCCAGACCTTCTGCTTCCAGCATTACAACCCGCTGGGGATGTCCAAAGTGAGGGGACAGCCCCTCTTGGCTCACTCAACCCTCCCTGAAGGACAAGCCTCTGTCCCCTTACCCCTTGGGTATTCTCTCCAGCCACCCCATGGCACTCCCCTTTGCAGTAAAACTCTGCTCCTCTGGACCATGTGCCATTTGGCAGAATCTCCTGCCCTGGCCCTGCTCCTTGTAGCAGTGGTCTCATGGTCTCTGCTGCAGACTCGGGGGCCTAGCTCAGTCTCCTGCGGCTGCCATGAGCAGAAACATCTCAACCTCATTCTCGGTGGCTTCAGCAGCCACAGGGATCACCCTCCAACAGCCTTCTTTCCATCTTAGCCACTCACTCCTGTGGCCTCATGATAACCCTAGCCCCAGATCCAAAATCTCTATTCCAGGCATTCATTTTCTGACCACCACCTCCTGTCCCTTACTTGTTCCAGCCCATTTGTCCCCCCATCTTCCCACCTTGGCATGCCCCAAGTAGGCAACCCTCTGCCTCCCTGTCCAATGGGCCTCCTGGCCACCATGCACCAGCACCCTGCCGCTCCTTAGAACACCCTCTGTCTGCCCCATCCCCAGAGAATTCATTCCAACATCCTCCCTGCTGAAATGGCTACGGGCAAGGGCACCAGACACTAATGGTGTCAATCCGAAAGCCATTTTCATCCTCTTACCTCCTAGCAGCATGGAGCACCCCAGATCACATTCTCCTTCCTGCAATCTACTGTCCCCTGCCACCATGCCAAGCACTCTCCCAGGTAGCTCCTACTTGGTTTGATCGCAGGCAGGGCTTCCTCTATCCTGGGCTCAGCAGAAGACCCCACTCCTTTCCGGGACCATCTTTCTCCTTCTTGTTCAGCTGTCCTTGAGATTGCAACAGATGCCTATGATCCCTCTCCTGGTTTGTCCCACTGGTGTTCCCAGTCCCAAACTCTGCTCTCTACTCACACTTCTCAGCACACTTTAGCCCCAGCACTTGCTCAAGACAGAAACCAAGTCCCTAGCTGCCGACCTCCACAAGGGACTATGACTTTTACTCATGGATTTTCCTCCCTTGACTTCAGCTTCTCCTTGTCCCTAAATTCCTGTTGTGGACCTACCTACTTGGGTCTCACCTCCTGCCCGCTCCACACCTCAATAGGGATCAATCTTCACAAAGCTGAAGTGGGATCTCATTGATATCCTGTTCCAAGCCTGCAAGGGTTCCCCACCCCTGGGTTTCTACAGAGAGTGGGCTCCTCACCAGGCCCCACTGCCTCTCATAGTCTGGCCCCTGCTGACCTGGAAGGCCTCCAGGAGTGCCGGTTCTTTCCCACCCTCTGACTGTGGCCCAGGCTGCCTGGTCACCTGGATGCTCTTCTCCAGATCCTTCTCCTCCTGGCTGGCACTCCTTCAGCCCTCAAGGGTCACCTAAAGGCCACTTCCCCTCTCTCCTTATGGCCCCCTTAAGCAGGGTTGCCTTGTTGTCTATTGCAAGGACACGCTCTCTGTAATACAGCTTGCTGTTCAGGGTGTCACTGGGTTTTTGTTTTGTTTCTGTATGGAGGGATGGAAGCAGAGGCACTTTAGCACTAAGCTACATCCCTATCCTTTTTATTTCTGAGAAAGGGTCTCACTAAATTGTGGAGGGTCTCACAAAGTTGCAGAACTTGCGATCCTCCTGCATAAGTCTCCTAAGCTGCTGGAATTACAGGTGTGAGCCCTGGTGTTCGACAATATATTTAGGTTTTAATGGGACCTTGACCCCTTTAGTGGATCCTAAGCCTCTCCAGGGCACAGACCACAGATGACTTATTGATCAGTATGCTCCCCCTCCCCTCATACTGCAGGGGTTCTGCGCATTTACTGCTGCACACAGCATTTAACCAGGGACCGAGAATGGAATGGGGGTCCACTCCAAACCCCCTGGCTTTGCATTCAACCAACCGGAGGGCTGCACTGAGCAGCTCCGGAGACCTGGTGAGCCCTGGCGGGGGCTGGTTACCCCATAACTCAGTCTGGGCCTGCAGCCTTCTGCTTCAGCCGCCCGGCCCAGCCCGCGAGCGCAGCGCCGAGCGTCTGCGAGGTTTCGAGGCCCGGCCCCTCCCGCCCGGTCGCCGCGGCGTCACCTCGCGCTCGCGGCGCTCAGCGTCCAGCAGCGCCCGCTCGTGGAGGTCACAGTCCAGCACGGTGCAGGCGCTGCACACGCAGCGGCCCTCAGTGCGGCAGAAGAGCTCGAGCGGACGCCCGTGGCGCGGGCAGCGCGCCCTAGCGCCGGGGTCCGCACGGGGGTCCGCGCCGGCGCCGGGGCGCAGCAACTCCAGCAGGTCGCTGAGCGCCACGTTGCGGCACAGCTCCGCGCCATCGGGGAAGGGCTGGCGGCACTCGGGGCACTCTTTCTGACAGCGGCGCCAACAGTCCTGGATGCAGGCCCTACAGAAGTTGTGGCCGCAGGGCAGAGTCGCCGGGTCCCGGTAGAGCCCCAGGCAGATGGCGCAGGTCAGCTTGTCCTCCAGCTGCAGCGCGGCCATGGCGGAGGCAGCAGGAAGGCCGGCCGGCGTCTCTTAAAGGGACCGAGACTGCTGCGGGCGTGGCTACCGCAGGAGGAGCCAGCACCCTGCCCAGGAAGACAACGCACCCACTAGGGCAGGTGCTGGGCACCGCGGGTCGGACTCTTGCGTGGTCCTTCTCCGACCGACAGCCTCCCGCTTCCCTAGGCGTAGCCAGGGTTGGAGGTTCTGGGCCAGGGGCCATCAAGGAACCTCATCTGAGTAGACCCTCCTTCACCCCCGGCAAGTTTGGGCAGTTAAATAAATTAGACATGTGGGACCTGATAAGAACCCCAGGGCACAGCTACAGCTCAATAAATGCTCCCTCCAGAGCGGAGACGCTGTTGCACTTTTTCCTGGAACTGTGTTCCCAGGCACTTGCCAGACTGGGGCGTCTCCCTTCTCTGGGTTATGAGTAATTTTTTTTTTTTTAAGTAAACAGTTAGATGGAAATTTCTGATAACCAAGAAACCAGTAAAGTTTTTTTTTTTTTTTTTTCTTCTCCAAGGGCCCCTTTAGAGGACACCCAGTCACCCTCTAGCTGCTGGGCTTCATATGACCTCCTGTTAGGGTGAGTTCCTGGTCTGGAACTTCAAGCTGTTCCTGGACGCCACCCTCCCCCCTTTTTTAGTTGTCAATGGACCTTTAACTTATTTATTTTTATGTGATGCTGAGAATTGAACCCAGTGCCTCACACACATGCTAGGCAAGCACTCTACTACCGAGCCACAACCCCAGCCCCTGAACCCCATTTTTATTGGGTAACCCAAACATTTCCCCTGTGGCTGAGCAGAGTAGAAGGGGCCTGAGTACTTGCCCATGGCCACCCTGGGCAATTGTGTGGTCAAGTCAATAGGGTGGTAAGGGGGCGGCCACACTTCCTTTTACCAAGCAAGCCTGACATGCCTGAGATGCAGCACCATGCCCTCTACAGTGATACTGTTATCTTTCTGGAAAAGGTAATAGATTCCCCCCTTGACCTTCTGCAAGAAGACCTTTAGGGAGGGGGAAACACCTAGCCATCCAGTGAGCCATCCAGGGTCTTGGTCTGGAGTGGAGATTGGGTCAGAGGTCTCATTGGGTCAGAGGTCTCTGCAATGAGTTGCTGCCTTGCCTGGCCAGGTATTACATCCCAGGTATGGGGGCAGGAGTTTGCCACCATGCAGAGGCAGCGATGCTCAGGGCTGGCGTAGCTCAAGAGCTTATGGGTATATGAATACATGACCATATCTATATCATGTACAACCATAAGAAGGGGAAGTCATACTCCATAACTAAAAAGAATTTAAAAAAGTAAAAAAAAAAAATAAAATAAATAGGGGCTGGGGATATATAGCTCAGTTAGTAGAGAGCTTGCCTTGCATGCACAAAGCCCTAGGTTCAATCCCCAGCATTGAAAAAAAAAAAAAAGTCGGGGTGGTGGGGAAGAGCTTATGGGACTAACCAAGGCCCACTGCCCATATATTCTTCTGTGTCTTCTGAAGCCACTGGATCATAGTGCTCTGGCCCTATCTGAAGGTGGAGGTGAGAAGAAACCCTCTTCCACCCATGAAGCAGTACAGCTCCACCAGGGGGCTCTGGCTTCTCCTAGAATACAGACCCAGACCAGCAAGAGCAGAAGTCATCTTTATTCACACCCTTCCATTCCCACCTGACAACCTCCTTTGCTCCCAGCCTTGGGCCTGATGGGACAGGCCTATAGAGGGGCTGCCTCAGGCAGGGACCAGAACCCCAGAGCTCAGACCACAGGAGCTGTCTTTCCTGTTCCTGACAGTCCAGCAGACCCTCCAAAGTGGGTACACTATGACCCCTCAGTAGATGCCATAGGTAGGCTCATGACTGTCCCTATACCGGTCCAGGTAGCGCAGGGGCTGTCGGTGCGGGAAGCGTTTCTGCTTGGGGTGGTAAGGGGGCGGCCTCACAAACTCAAACACGGGCTCCCGCATGTCTGCAAGAAAAGTGAAGGACCCAGGGGTGGACTCCTGCCAGGGACTGCCCACCTGAGGGGCAGCAGGCCTGCCAGGAGCCATCTCCAACCAAGGCACACAGGAAAGGTTCATGTGCTCAGGCCCACCCCACTCCCCCTTACCCAGAAGCTGGTGGAAGGTTTGGGTGACTGAGTCATCCCAGCGGCACTGAAAGAAGGCCAAGCCAGCTGGAGTCATGGCTTCCTGGTGTTTCTTGTAGAAATCAAAAGTGTGGAAGGTCCTCTGGGCCAGCTGGTAGCTGTAAGATGGGGAACATCTGAGAGTGGGAGGGGGCACCAGAGCCCTGCCCCCTCACAGGCAATCTGGCAGGCTTCCTAGGGTTGGCCTGGTGTACTGTTCTACCAGTCTCAAGGTGTAGGTCAAATGAGCCAAAGCAAGAACCACCATCTTGGGGAAGCTGCTCTGAGGTCTGGGACAGACGTGTGTGGGGTACAAATTACCAGGGTGAAGGGCGGGTGTCCTCAGAGAAGTCGATTGGCTTGTCCTGCTTGAAGAGCAGAAAGGCGAAGCGGTGGAAGCCGGTGCCTTGGGCAGGGAAGGGGGGGAGATAAGGACAAGTCTCCTGTCCTTCAGTCACTCTGTTGCCCGGGATGTTGGTTCTGGTTGGAGGGAAGTAGTAATTAACTGCCACTAGGAGATGGCAAGAACACCCTTAGAATGTAAACCTTAGAGGCTGATGTCATTCCCTGTGGGTACAGACCCTGACCAATCTCTAGCAGAGCTCTGTGACCCCCTCAAACATAATGCAAATAGGTGGAGGGAGCAAGAGGGGCCCAGAGGTTGAGGACAAGGCTTCCAGAGACCACATGGATGACAGCAAGGCCGAGCAGCCCATTTACCAGGACCTGGGAGCCAGGGGGTCTGCCCTAGTCACTCGGGCTGGAAAGCTCCACCACCTTTGGGCTGACTCTCTGAGGCCTGAGGGTCTGGTCACGGAAGAGCTGGCCTGGCCTGGCACTGGGGTGGCAACTTTACCTGCCCAGGTACAACTCTCCAGAGGGTCCTGCTCCACAGGCTGGTAACTACAGTTGAATGAAAATGACAAACCAGCCTCCCACTTAACTGGCTTTAATTACCCAGAAGTCTCAAAGCTGGGGTCGTCTGCCTGACCTCCCCCTGGCCTAGTGTTCAGAGCCAAGACCCACCAAGAAAACGAAGGGCACCCCAGTCTGAATTGCCTGGGGAAGGAAAGCCCAGCGGCTCAAGACTGTTTGGAGATGTCACAACTGCCAGAGGCCTCTCCCAGTTCTTTCCCCCTTAGTCACAGTGCCCCTCAGAGTAGGTAAGAAACATGGTGGCAACATCCCAGTTTTACAGGAAAGGCTGTGGGTTCTGAGATGAAGAGGCCGTGGGAGCCAGCTGAGGGCCACTGCTGTTTCCTTCCTTACTCATCTTCAAGGGCCCCTGTGCTTTCAGGAGGCACTGGCGAGAGGTGGGAGGTTAATTCAAAATCCTATGGTTAACCTATGGTGAAGCCAATTCTGAAATCCAGGGGCTGTTCTTTCCAGGCTCCCAGGGCCTCTCTGCAATCCCCTGACCCGCTCCCACTCCCGACCAGATACTCACAGCAGCCAGTGGAGGTATTCTGCATCTGGCTCCAGCAGGTGTCCATCTGCATAGAAACACACCTCACTAACCAGGGTCCTGATTCTCCTCCCCTGGAAGGAGGTGATACTGGAGCTCTCCATTTGGTCCTGGCCCAGTGCCCTGACCCAGGGGAGGAAGAAAGGGGAGGAAGAAAGGGGAGGAAGGAGGCTCAATAAACCGCGGACACCTACCCAGATTGGTAAGCAGCAGTGTCCACATGGAACCCTCGTCTGCTTCATAGGTCACCTCTGGGGACTGGGCAGCCTGGCAGGGAGAGAACAGGAGAGCTGCCACTCCAACCAAGGATAAGCTGTTACAAACAATTTCTTTCTGGAGGGCTGTAGCCTGAGGGGGGTCTTGCAGAAGGCAGTGTCCATTCTGGCCTAAATCAGGCCTCTTGACATCTGCTCAGAGGCATGTAGACAGAGATGCTTACAGAAGGAGCCCTGAAGAGTTGCCTGTCGTGAGATCTAAATGCAAAAGGGACCATGTGCCAAGAGACAAGGCCTGGGACTAAACTCCAGACAGTAGCTAGTCCCAGGAATGTGCAAAGATGGAGCTTCTTTTTCCTGTTTTGTATTATTGTCTTTGTAACTGTCTTGTGTTTCCCAGAAAATCAAAAAGACAGAGAGAACCACAGAACCCCACACCTGGGAGCTGTGATGGTGCAATGGGATGTGTCTGTGTGCACACAGGACAGGGAGAAGGGCACGCTGCGTGGTACCTCAGTTGGAGTCACTTCATTGCCATGGTACACAGGCATCAGGTCCTCCTCGCCCACAGCATAGGCCACATGCAGGGGAACCCAGGGCACGAAAGTGGCACCGTGGAACAGGTCTCGGTAGAGGCCGTAATACTCAGCCAGGCGCTGCTTGTGGTAGGGGCCGCAGGTCCTCTCCCACTCAGCTCGCACAGCCTCCAGGGGGATGCTGGCTGGGAAGGAGTGAGGCCAGTTGGATGCAAGGTGGGGACAGGGACCCACCTAGGACCCTTCCCGTCAGGGATTACCTGTGCGGAGGCGAGCAGCCCGCTCTTCTTCCACATTGGCCCGAAGCTCCCTTAGAACCTGCTTCCGTTGGTGTAACTGTTGGGTACGGCAGAACTTGGGTGGAGGCAGTCCAATGTCAACTTTGTCTTTGGGATCTGGGGAGGAGTGTGTTGGAGGAAGCAGGATTACATCTCTAGGCTAAGCTGCTGCCCCTACCTAGTTCTATTGCTCTGTAGTTCCAGCCTCTGCTGTTGTCCTTCTCTTTGGTTCACAAAACTAAAACACACTGTGCGGTCTGCTTCCCAGATCTGAACAGGGCCCCGCTAAACAAATAAGATATAAGGTGAGGTTGTGTTTTCTGATGTCTAAACTAGGTCTCACTGAATCATATGGGTCATGGAAAATTAAGGCAGATGTCATAATTACAGTTAGGATTCACAGTGGGCTATGGACATGCACCTGTGTCCTTAGTGGAATGAACAGCTGAAGTCAGAAGGATCAAAGAAGCACTTCTCACCTTTAATGGGGAGATAAATCGAATAGCCTCAGAATTTTGTTAAAATTCAGATTTTGATTCAGGCCCTGCATTTCTTTCTTTTTCTGGGTGGGGGTGGAGGACTGGGTATTGAACCTAAGTAGTCTAACACATCCTGATCCTTTAATTTTTTTTCCCTTCAATTTTGAGACAGGGTCTCATTAAATTATGGAGGCTGGTCTCCAACTTCCCATCTTCCTGCCCCAACCTTCCAAGTAGCTGGTATTACAGGCCTGAACCACCACACCAGCACACTTTGCCTGCGGTTCTGGTCCCAGAACACAGTTTAAGTAGTAAAGCCCTGGAGAACTTTCAATCTATCACCTTTATCTATTTACATGAGAGGCAACCATGTATTTATTGAGCCCTCATTCGGAATGGTATTAGTGTAAAAATTTCTGCATCCTTTAATCCTCACAGAAATTTGGTGACAAAGCCACAATTATTTCATTTTACTCGAAGCTTAGGGACATCATCGGAAAGAAGTTGGGCTGCGGTTTAAATCAGGCTATCTAGTATGCCTGTAAGCATCATAAAAACTGCCTCTATAAATGCTTCCAAAAAAGGATGTGCTCAGTAAGAATGAGTTCTTTAAAGGCTGGATTCCTGTTATCCGGTCCGGGGCTTTAATTTAGCAAGGCACCGCACACCTCGTGCTAGGAACCGTGCGGGTGCAAGGATCCAAAGGTGGGCAAGTCAGGCATGATCTGCAGGGCGCTTGCTAACTGCGGAGAGCACCCAGTTGTCAGGGCTACGTGGAGCACTTTAGGAGCACGGAGAGGAGTCCCAACCCGGAACGATCAGGAAAGGATTTTAGGAGTGGCTATTCTAGAAGCTGGAACTCTGACCCTTGTTGGGGTGCCCATCAGGGGGCTGAAAGGCCAGTCCAGGATGGCCCGGAGCACGCCGGCGGCTCCTCCCCGGAGGGCCAGGGCCCGCACCTGTCTGGTCCCCGAAGTACTCCCAATAGGTCCGCCACCAGTGCGGGGCCCGCGCCTCCTGCTCCGCCCGGCGTCGGTAGCGGTCGAAGCTCCGGTACTTCTCCAGCCGCTCTAGGTTGCTCACGTCGATGTCCGCGTTGGGCATCGGCCCCAGCGGGGGCGTCCGGCGGCTCAGGGCGGCTGCGGGAGGAGAGTGGGGCGTCACGGGGACTCCGGCCCGGCCGAGCCCCAAGTCGTCAAGAGCTCCCGGCCCCAGGACCCTTACCCGAGGTGCTGAAGCCTCGCCAGGCCCGCCTCCCGCACAGCGCGGCTCGCCACCAGGGCGCCGCCATCTTCCCGCAGGCCGACACGGCCCTTCGGAACCCGCCCAGCGCCCGCCCCTGAGGCCCCGCCCCGGCGCCCGACTCCTCCCCCTCCGGGGCCGCCTCCGGAAGTGTCCGGGACCGGCCTGCGGTGGAGCGCTAGCGGCCACCAGGGGGCGACGCAGCCTGGCCTTGAACCGCGAACGGGGCGCTCAGCCAGCCTCTGCAGCGCGTCTTGCGCTGTGGGGCGCTGGCGGGCGCGGGGACAGTGCGCGCATGGCTTCCGCAGAGCGCTCGGGCTGAAGTTCCCGATGGAAACCTTCGCGTCGCCCTTGTAGTTCCCTCACTTGTGCCAAGAAGCAGGTTATAATAGTGCTCACCTCATAGAGCTGCTAGGGGGAGGAAATGAATTAACATCTAACAGAATACGTGCCCTGGATCATCTCCAGCTTGCCATTATCCACGCAGCAGCATAAGGGACCTGTTCACCCACACACGTGATCAGGGCTGAGCATTGCTCTGGGATCCAGTTCTAACAAGGTAAAACTTGGTAGCCCAGGTGATATGGACCCTTGTCTGCCCCTGCCCCAGTCCCTCTGTCCTAGAACAACACAAGTTTCCAGCACAGCACACCTTCTGTTCTTCCACAGTTTGCTCTGCAGGCCACAAAGCTTTTCCACAGGCTATCACTTCTGTTTTTACCTCCTCACGTTTCCCTCTGTGGCCTGACTGCCTTGCAGCACCAGTAGAATGGTCCCTCTGGGAAGTCTACCCTGACATCTCAAATGAGGGCTGGTGGCAGGGTCAGTTGCTCTGACACCAGCAGAAGCTTGACCCTCACACTCAGACTGAAGTGGACGCCGGGGTCTCTCCATCCAGTAGGAAGTGGCCATACCTGTTTCTGAAAGACCCTCCCACTCCCTGTCCAAGGAAGAACGCACGAGACACTGGCTGCAAAAGCAAGAGGCAGTTTATTGGTACACAGGCGCCTGCGGGTGCGCAGCAGAACCTCAGCCGGAGCTTTGGTGAACTGGCACACCGGGCTTTGGGGCACAGATCTTTTATGGGGTAAAGGAGCAGGTTTCGTGCGCGCGGCAAGCAACAGGTTTCTTATTGGTCATTTTGAACCTAGCATATAGGTCACCTAAAGAGCAAGGTCGTTTTTCACTGTATGTTCCTGGAAAACCCACGGTTTTACATTCCATTCTTTCTGTTCCTGCTTATCTGTTCCGGTTTTCCCAATCGTGTCCTGGGACACAATTACCCGGTTCTTTCCCAACCATCCTGTTCTTTCCTAATCGGTTACATTTAACTGGTTATATGAAAAACACATCTGGTGCCTGTTAACTGGTTATCTGAAAAACACATCTGGTGCCTGCGCAGGTTTGTAGCATGCCCTGATGATTTTGTAACTGGGCCTAAAGTTATTGGGCTGGGGTCTCTCATTTCCATACATAGCAAACAGCTAAACCTGTCACCATCACTTCTACTTCATAACAGCCTGTACCTGCTGTCTGCTAAGCTGTGAGGGCGATTCATAGGCCAGTAACACCCAGACCTGCTGTTAAGGAGTGGCTGCTGTGAAATTCCCACTAATACACAGTGGAACCAAACAGTGTTGGCCCAACTGGATTGTGCATGGTCATTGTGGCCTCCTTGGCTGTTTTACCTTTTCCTTTTGTTTCTGAATCCTCTTCTATGTGCCTGTAAAGCCACCCGGGTCCTATGCAGGGTCTCCAGCAGCACTGAGGCTTGCTGCTCAACCAGGTGGCTTGTACTTCCTTTCTTATTCTCTTCCAGCATGGAAGGCCCTAAAGAATGGGACTTACTTAGAATCCAATTATTTGAGGGGACTAGCATGGATTATCACATGACAATTTGAAGCATATAATACATGTGAACAACTCTTGAAACTCGAAGCAATGGGTCCACCAATATTTCTCTAACAGGAATTAAGCATTTGGATTATGACCTTGAAGGAAATGTTACAATATTTTCCTCTGGTGCTGGGGATTGAACCCAGGGGCATTCTACTACTGAGCTACACCCCAGCCATTTTTAAAAATTATGAGACAGGGTCTTGCTAAATTGCCCAGGCTGGCTTCAAACTTGTGACCTTCTGCCTTAGCCTCCCAAGTAGCTGAGATTACAGGTATGTACCACTGTACCCAAAAGGAATTGCTATAGTTGTTAATAGGGTAAGACTGACCAATAGATACTGAATACTCACTCCTGTATGCAGCCCTCTACAATGTCTGTGGCCTGGGAGAAAGAAATGTATTAGTTAGGCTACTTACATAGCAAACAGCTAAATGGTGTTTACAGCAACACTGAGCAGTTCCCAGCACCAAGGAAAGTGTTAGTCAAGTGCCTGTGGGATGTCTCTATTTGGCCATCACAAGAGCACTCTCTCATCATGAGTGACACTACGGTCACCCAAGTCAGGGATCTCAGGTTCTCCTTGACACGTGACCCATACCCAGGCACTATATTCCAGAGGGGCACTTCTGTGACTCCTCATGGACATACAGGGTGATCTTGCCCTCTTTTCCCTCCCCCACACCCTTGCAGTATTCTAACACTTTCTCTGTCCCCACTTTGCCCTAGTGTCCACCCCACAGCCACAATGGGTTCTCTAAAATGCAAATAAAGCTCTTCAGTGAATACTCATTTCCCTGAAGATAAAAGTTCAAATACTTTAACAAGATATATAAAGCTGCTGGGTGTGGTGGCACATGCCTATAATACCAGCAACTCCAGAGGCTGAAGCAGGGGAATTGTAAATTTAAGACAAGCAATCAAGCAAGGCCCTAAGCAACTTAGAGACCCTGTCTCAAAAAAAAAAAAATGGATGTGGCTTAGTGGTTAAGTGACTCTGGATTCAACCATATTACCAAAACAAGATAAAAAGCCATTACCTCTACCTGCTCCCTAACTCTTGTTACTGTGTCCTGAAGGCCAGGGTCCTGGGTTGCCCTGCACCACACACCCTGTGTGCTACAATGTCTGTGGTCTGGGAGAAGTCTTCCAGTTGACTACAGAAACACCAGCTGCCAGGTGCACTCCTGTACTCCTATCTGCTCAGGAGGCTGAGACAGGAGAATTTCGAGTTCAAAGCCAGCCTCAGCAACGGCAAGGCAGGTGCTAAGCAACTCAGTGAGACCCTGTCTCTAAATAAAATACAAAATAGGGCTAGGGATGTGGCTCAGTGGTCAAGTGCCCCTGAATTCAATCCCCAGTACCAAAAAAACAAAACAAACCAAAACAGAAGCAACAGCTGTCCCCATAACTGCCCATGGATATACCCAACCTTGACTCCTGTCTCTTTGCCACATCTGGCTCAGACCTGGTTAGGAGTGTCGTGAGAACTGAATCCTAGGCTTTTACAAGCGTTTGGCGGGCACATGATGCTTCCCTCCTCAGGCGGACACCAACTCGGTAAGTGGAGGTAAATAAACATCTTGTCCTTACAGTGCACTGTGTGGTATGCTTCTCTAGGGGGTGGCAGGAAGGATGTGGCTGAGAGTCTGGGGTTTGGGAATCTGCCTGAGCAGAACTCAAATCCAGGCTCTATTACTATTTGCTGTTACTTTGGACAAGGTATGTTGTCTCCCTGAGTCTCAAGTTCTTCATCTTTTTTCTTTTTCTTTTGAAACAGTGTTTTGCTAAGTTTCTGAGGCTGAACTGATCTTGTGATCCTCCACCTCAATTTCCCAAGTTGCTGGAATTATATGTGTGTGCCATTGCACCCAGGTAGTTTCATTTTAAAAAAAATATATATTTTTTTTGTTGATGGACCTTTATTTTATTTGTTTATATATGGTAGAATCGAACCCAGTGCCTCACACATGCTAGGCAGGCTCTCTACTACTGAGCTACAACCTCAGTTCCAGTTTCCTCATTTTGAAGCAGGGATGGTAATACTACCCACTTGAGCTCTCTGTCCTGACAGACTGCACCTGGAGGGGAAGGACTTGGCCAGAGGAGCATGACAAATTGGCTTTTTATAGGAATGTTTGACTGCTCTGTGAGGCTTGTTTTCCAACAAAGACAAGGGATACAGAACAAAAATGTTCTAAAAAGTAAGTACAAATCCTGATGGGCCTCAGCAAATTCTAAGAATTTAATCATTAAGGGGCTGGGGATGTGGCTCAAGCGGTAGCGCGCTCGCCTGGCATGAGTGCGGCCCGGGTTCGATCCTCAGCACCACGTACAAAGAAAGATGTTGTGTCTGCCGATAATTAAAAAATAAACATTAAAAAAAAAAAAAGAATTTAATCATTAAGAATATGACAGTTTATAGGCTGGGGTGAAGCTCGGTGATAGAGCACTTGCCTAGCATTTAAGAGGCCCTGGGTTTATCTCAGCCCTCCCCCCAAATTAAAAATGAAAAATACAATTACTTGGGAGGCTGAAGCAGGAGGATTACAAATTCAAGTTCAGCTTTGGTAACTTAGTAAGACTCTGTCTCAAAATAAAATAAATAAAAGGGCTGGGGATATAGCTCAGTGGCAGAGCACCCCTGAATTTAATCCCCAGTACCATAAGTAAGTGAGTAAGCAAGCAGAGAATAGTTTAATGTGTTCAAGACCAAAGCTACAAACTGTTGGCAAATAAATTAGGTCCCTCTGAAAGCTGTTCCAAAGAGCAGAGAGCTACAGATGGTGCCACTTCTCCCTCGTGTTCTCTTCCTCTGCCCTCCTGCTTACTGGGATGGCTTCCTCTGGGATGCAAGGTGAGGAATCGCTCCTGCACAGAAGCAGTTTTAGCAGCAACTGCAATTTTATTAGTCGAGTTGATTTGTCCTGGGTCTGCTGGGTACAATGAGTACCCCTCCAGCCCCATCCTGGCATCCCTCCAGCTGACCTTGGCACACGGCCTGTACGTACGTGGAGGCCAGCAAAGGCGCAGGTGGCAGTAGCAGTGCATGGGGACCCATAGGTCACCTTTCTCCCCTCCAGGGACAGAGGCTCTGGCTGTCTTCCTTCCCTGTCCATTTCCACACCCCCAACATCACCCACAGTTCCCTACTCCTGCTTCTGGTGAGGGCCTAATTGAGGAGGAAGAAGCTGGAGGCCAAAGTTCATGTTGAGCTGGTCAGCCACTTGGGCAGAGCTGAGAATGAGTGGGGGTGGAGTGGCTGGCTGAATCCCAGGAGCTCATGGAACCGTGAGAAGAATCTGGCATGGTGCCCTCCCTGCCCCCACCAGACCTCCCACTCACTTGCCCAGGAGGCCTTTGTCCATGTCCCCATTAGGGAGGGGACCTCTCAGGCAAAGAAGGTAGAAGGCTGTTCATGGTACCCCCCCCAAGAAAACCCCTGCCTCTGAAAAGGCCCAGGCACATAGACCCGAACCGGCTGCCTATGGTTGAAGCTGGTGGAGTTTGCTGCCTCCTCAGACCGTCAGACTGGAGCCAGAAGTCTGTGATGAGACACCCTCAGCTCCTGGGGGCTGTTGCACGTCAGAGCGCCAAAGGTGCAGGGCCTGGCAAGAGCATACAGGCAGGCTGTCTGGATGGAGGGCTCTGGTAGGGCCCGGCAGCATGGCAAGGGAGAGTCCAGGGTCCAGGTGCTCGCCGAGGGGCAGCTGTCCATGTTAAGTGGAATGGGACGTCATGTTGTAGGACGCATTCTTCAGGGCGTTCAAGAAGAACTGCTCATTCTCCAAGAAGTCCCGGTCCTGCCAGGCAGATTCGGAAAAGAGCTCACACTTCCATGCACTGAGAGGGGGGCCAAACAGCCCTCACTTGGGGGCTCCCTCTCCCAGTTATCGGTCAGCTCTGGGAGGCAGGGTGGGGGCATGAAAGAGCCCAGGCGTAGAGTGAGGCAGACTTTGGTCTCAGTCCTGGGAGGCCACTTGTTAGCAGTGGAACTGATTTCCAGCACATGACCTCTTGTCTCTGAGCCTCACTTTCCTGTTCTAATCTGGAGATAAGAATCTCTCCCATGTAGAGCTGAGTGTGGGTGAAGTTGCTGATCTACATAAAGCCTGAGTGTTAAGCCCAGCACACAGGACATGCTCCCTGAGTGGCCACTGCATTCACAGGCTGTCAGGAGGTTTAACTGAGATGACATTTGCCAGCTGTTGCGTACAGAACCTGGCCTAGAGCAGAAGCCTCCAAGTTGCATGCCGAGTAGTCTGCCTTCTGAGTCTCCTCCAGGAGCTGGGGTCAGCGCTCCCCAGAGCTGTGACATGCTCCCTGATGCCTCTGCCCCGAGCTGGAGGGACTCTGCATGTCACCACAGTGAACAAGAGGACCCAGGCCCAGTGGACACTCACCTGCTCGGCTGTGTGCTTCAGCAGCACCAACTTGGCAAGGAGCTTCGCGGGGCCTGGGCTGGCCAGCAGCTGGCTGCCCTGAAGGGTGGTGGGAGCGGGAGTCACGAGAGCTGAGAAGGCTGAGGAGGAAGTCAGGGCCAAAGTGTTGGAAGGAAAACAGGACCACACGGCTGTACCGCAAGGCCTGCTCACGTGCTGCCCACTAGTGGGACTGGACCGACGTTCACATGGCTCCAACTCTCAAAAGCCTCTGAAAAACACTCATGTGCTCCTATCTGACAAATCTGCTTCTAAGAATTTATTCAAGGGAATCAGTCAGACAAAGGAGCTAAGATGTACAGAGAGGTTTCCAGGGAGGCACTGCTCATCCTAGTGACAAAAACCTTCAGTGTGGAACAGCCTCAGAGTGGAAAGTGACACTGATCAAGAATGTTAAATCACCGACAGGAAGACACATTCCAGACGTGTATTGCTGAGTGTAAAAGCCAGCTTATAAAACATATTCCCAATTTTGTTTGAAAACATCCATCAGTCTGGAACGTCAGGCACCAAAATGTTCAAGTGGTTCCCCTGGACTGGAGACTTAGATTGAGTGTGATATTGTAAAAAGTTTCCCCCTCTATTTCTGACTTATTTCTCTAAAGTTAACATGCATTAATTGTTTAAAAAAATAAATAACAAGATGACTTTAAGACTCAGGCAGCAGGCTGGCACACATTTGTAATCCTAGCATCTTGGGAGACTGAGGCAGGAGGATTGCAAGTTCGAGGCCAGCCTCAGCAACTTAGTAAAACTCTGTCTCAAATCAAAACAAACAAAACCCCAGAAAAAAACTAGTACTAGGCACAGTGGTGTACACCCATAATCCCAGTGATTTGAGAGGCTGAAGCAGGAGGATTCGAAGTTTGAGGTCAGCCTCAGCAAGTCAGCAAGACCCTCAGCATGGTGGTGCATGCCTGTAATCCCAGTAACTCTGGAGGCTGAGGTAGGAGGATTACAGGTTTGAGGCCAGCCTCAGCAACTTAGTTAGACCTTCTTATTTTTTTTTAATATGTATTTTTCAGTTATAGCTGGACACAATACCTTTATTTATGTATTTTTATGTGCTGCTGAGGATCAAACCCAGGGCTTCGCACATGCTACGTGAGCATTCTACCGCTGAGCCATAACCCCAGCCCACAAGACCTTATCTTAAAATAAAAAATAAAAAGGGCTGGAAATGTGGCTCAGTGGTTAAGCAACCCTGGGTTCAATCCCCAGTACAAAAAAAAAAAAAAAAAAAAACAACCCATTGCTCCCTCACTTGAGCAGCTGGAGGTTAGCCAGCTTCTCCTCTGCCCCTGCTCTGGGCTGGCGGAGCCCCATCCCTTCCTTGTGGAGCCACTTACCACCCAGGTCGGAGGCTGCTGGGCCCTGGCCTGTTGAGAACAGCCCTGGGAGGCTGGAGGGCAGGTCTTGTCGAGCACGGTCCAGCTGTAGCCTCTGCTGTGCCAAGCTCAGGTGTTCCTGCCCCAGCCCGAGACAGGAGAACTCAGTGGGGCGAGCAGGCGGCTGGGCATGCAGACAGGAGGAGGGGAAAGGGGGAGCCTTGCCTGATGTACATGCTGCTCCTGCTGCTGCAGCCGCTCCTGCTGCTGCCTAACAGCCTGCAGCCGGGCCTGTTGCTCAGACTGCAACTGCCGGGCCTCCTGCAGCGCTTGCTCACCCTCCTGGTACTTCTTAGAGGCCACCTGCAAGGAGGTTTCAGGGTCAAGGCCAGGGTCAGAAGATGTCCCAAACCCACACACCTTCCAGCCTCACCTGGCTCATGTGCTCCACCTCCTCAGCACGGCGCTGGAGACGCAGGCTGGCGGCTCTGACCCTCTCCTTCTCCTGCTGTAGCTCCTGCCGCTCCCGCTCCACAGCCTCCCTCTCAGTTGCCAGCTGCTCCTCCTTGGCCCGGAGCTCGCTGGCCCTGACCCTTAGCTCTCCCTGTTCCTGGAGAAGGCAGAATCTTCTCTGCATCCACCTCTTAGGAGCTATAGCAAGCTGTGCAGCACCCGAGGGTCCCCTCTGCCTATCCTGCTTCTGGAGCTTCCAGGATGGACCAGAGAGGCATGAGACCAAGCTGGGGTGCTCCCCAACAAGCTGTATAACTGCAGCAGGTTCACCTCTGAACCTTAGTTTCCTCATTTCTAGACTACTGAAGTCATAGGAGCTAATGAGAATCAAACCCAAGTCCTTCTGCCTGCTAGGCAAGCACCACTACACATCCTCAGCCCTTTTTATTTATTATTTTTTGGTACTGGGGATTGAAAAGAGGTACTTTGTCACTGTATCACTGAGCCACATAGCCAGCTCTTTTTGTTTGCTTCTTGTTTGTTTTTTGGGGGTAGTATCAGGGATTGAACTTATGGACACTGGGCCACTGAGCCATATCCCCAGCCCTATTTTGTATTTTATTTAGTGACAGGGTCTCACCAAGTTTCTTGGTACCTCACTTTAGCTGAGGCTAGCTCTGAATTCCGGATCCTCCTGTCTCAGCCTCCTGAGTTACTGGGATTACAGGTGTGCACCAGCCCACCCTGCTCCTTTTTGTTTTTTAAGACATGGTCTAAGTTGGTTAGAACCTCACTAACTTGCTGAGGCTGCCCCTGAATTTGTGATCTTCCTGCCTTAGCATCCAGAATCATGGGTATTACAGGCATGCACACCATGTGTGGCCTTAGCCCTTTTTATTTTGAGAGGGTCTCAGGAAGTTGCCCAGGCTGGCCTTGAACTTGAAATCCTTCCACCTCAGCCTCCTGAGTAGCTGGGATTACAGTCCTACACGACCATGCCAGGTTCTAATGAGAATTAAATGAGGAAAAAAGTGTATAAAATGCCTCTGGGGACGCAAGGGAGTTACTGTGGTGACAATACTTGTTTAACCACTGCACTCTAAGTATGTCATCACTGTGCTCTTATTTCGTAAGCCCGAAGCTGACGCACCTAGGAGGAAGGCCACAGCTGCTCTGGAGGCTGCCTCACTCACGATTGTGGCACTGGGACAGATGCTCTTGCCCAGAGGGCCGACCTCCCAGGGGTCTGTTAGGAGGAGGCTCACCTTCTCCAGCTACCCTACCTTGGCCAGGCTGATGAGGGTGCCCTCCCGGCGGGTGTCCACCTGCAGTGCTCGCTCGGCCTCGCGCTCAGCCCGCTCCTTACTCAGCTTCTGCTGCGTGAAGAACTCAGCCCACTCGGCTGCCAGGCGCCGCCTCTCCTCCCCACACTTCTGCATGACCGACTTCTGCTCCTCCAGCAAGGCGCTCTAGATTTGGGGGTGGGGGCGTGGTGAGCGTCTTGTCTGGGTGTAATGGTGGGTCAGCAGCTGAGCCTGGTGCTGGACTCACCTTGGCCCTCTCCAGCTCCTCCCTCTCTATGGCGATCTGCTGGGCCAAGACCTTCCTCTGCTCCTCCAGAGCACGCTGCGTGGACTCTGCCTTGGACTGCTCGGCATTCACACGCCAGCGTTCCTGTTATGATCCAGCACAAAGATAGAAAATGTCGGTCCTTTTTAAAGAACAGAGCTTGCTCTTGTATTTGAATGTACATTAGGTGTGCAAATGAATCTGTCACAGCTAAAGAGGTTAAATGACATTTAGTGACATTGAGTGGGCAAGAGCATCTGTCCCAGTGCCACAGGCGTCATGTGACATGACAGATCTGGGTGACAGGAGGAAAGAAGCACAGTTGGTGGGGGAAGACGTGGAGAGGCCCCAGGGCCAGTGGCCAAGGAATTAAGTGATAGGTGGCCCAGCCAGGGAGATCGTGTGTGCTCAGGTGGGCAGTGCTCAGGGTAGGGCAGAGCTGGAAGACACAGGCAGGAAGGGCAGGAGGGACACTGAGAGGAGCTCTGGGCCTGGGCGATTGCAGGACTCAGGAAGCAGATCAGAGGGCCGACCTCCCAGGGCTCTGGTAGGAGGAGGCTCACCTTCTCCAGCAGCCGGCTCTGCTCACTTAGCCGGGCCTCCATCTTCCCGATGACCTCTTGCAGCCGAGCACGCTCCTCCTCCATGTCCTGCTGCTGCCGGCCCAGCCGCTCCTGCAGTGCTGGGTGGCCCACAGGGCGCTCACTACCTGCCCTCCTTCCTCCTGAGGGGAGCCTGGGCTACTGAGGTGGGGGTAGGGTACCTCGCAGCTGCTCGTCCTGATGCCGGATTCCCAGCTCCCGCTCCTGCGAGGTGGTGAGGTGTGAGGCCTCCACGCGGGAGGACAGCTCATTCAGGCTGCTGGAGAACTTTTCCATCTGCTCGATGATGCCATTCAGGGACCTGGAGGGTGATCCATCAGGGAACCTCAGCCTGTGGAGGCCCAGGCCCGGCCCCTTGGGTGGGCAGTGCTGGGTGGGACACACACCGTGTGTGGGAGGTGGCACTGGTAACTGCATCGATCTCTCGGTCCTTCAGCAACTTCAGTCGCTGCAGCTGCTCCTCATGGTCCTTGCGCATTTCCAGGATGGATGCCCTGAGGAGAGGGTGGCAGAGGCGGTTGGCCCAGGGCCACTCTAGCAGAACCACACAAACGGGATGTGGGGAGAACACCCTGGCAGCTCTTCACGGAAGCAGCTGCCTCTGCGCAGTCCCTCTGCCTCCTCCTCCCCCAGACACTCAGTCTCCATGACTTTCCTTTTTCCTTTTCATACCAGGGACTGAACCTAGGCATTTTTAACCTAGGTTCAGATGAGCCACATCCCCAAGCCCCTTTTAATTTAACTTATATTTTATTTAGAGACAGGGCCTTGCTAAGTTACCAAGGCTGGCTTTGAACTTGCAATTCTCCTGCCTCAGCCTCCTGAGCCACTGCACCCAGCTTCCTGACTCTTCTATCTCATCTGTCCTGGTGCCTCAAGGCCATGTGCACCAAAAGATTCCTCCTATTATTAAGCAAAGTCCACTTTTCACAGAGTAAAAGCTGTGTGCCTAACCCCTGTGTCTGGTCCATAGGGCCAGTCTTAACAAGGCTGCTCAGGCACCTTTTCTTGGTTCATTCTCATCCAGAAAGGCAACCAGATGAACACACCAGCAATGATAAGCACAGCTTTCCCACGGTGCAGCTAGTCACTAGTCTCCATGGGAGAGGTGAGTGGAGTAACCTAGCTTGGCTAGGTCCTCTGGTGCTTGCTGCTGCTCTGCCCTGCCTCCTGGAAGGCTACACTCTTTTGGCTTTTGCCCCTCCTTGCCTCAGCAGAAGAAGTGGCACCCCACTCAGGTGGGCCAATAGGCTGGTGTGCTTAGCATTGGTCTTCACCTCAGTGGGCCAAAGGGAAGGACTCAAACCCCATGCAAAGGCTGCAGAGCCACAGCCTGGGGTCTCTCGATTATTGCTCTTCTCTGCCCTTGTGTCTTGCCCTCACCGCTGTAGCTCCCGAAGCCGCTCCATCTCCTGGTCTTTTTCTTGTGCCGCTGCTGCCAAGCGCCGCTGGTGCTGGGCTGTGAGCTCGGCTCGGGCCTGCTCAGCCTCGTGGCAATGAGAGAGATACTGAGCTGACAGCTCCTCATTCTCTCTGCGGAGCCGCTCCTCCCGTTGCTGGTATGATGTCTCTAGCATCTTAATGCGGCTTCTGCCAAGAGAATACCCACCAAAGGGCCTGTCTGAGCATATCAGCATGGTCTTGGGGTTCAGTGAAGAGATGCAAGCAGCGCTGGGGCAGGACATCAGCCTGGGAAGACCGAGGCAGACCACAGGAAGGAGCTGCTAGGTACCTGTGTGCATTCTCAATGAGCTCCAGGTCTGCCTGGTGCCGCTGCTGTAAACTTTCCAGCAGCAGCTGGTGCTGGGTCCGCTCTAGTTCCAGCTTCCGCACCTAGGAGACAGTGGTAAGCCAGCATACTGCCAGGCGAGAGGTCCTTTGGCGTCTATGCCCCATACCACTTTGTGCCTGCAGTCCTCTTCCCCTCTGGCAAAGCCTCTAGCCCTGGACTCCCCCCACAGATGCCCAATGTCCCTTACCTGAACCTCCAGCTCTGCCAGCCGTGCGTGGCTCTGCAGCAGCTCTGCTTGGAGCTGGGCAGTGCCACTCTGAAGCTGCGCCTGGGCTGCCAGGAGCTGCTTCTGGTATCCCACACCTGGCAGCAGGCTCTGCTCCAGGGACTCTGGGAACAGGGACTGCAGGGGAGGATGAGAGCTGTCCCACGTCAGGAGCTGAGCTTGGCTACCTCCCGGCCCTCTGCTCACTGGACTTCCTGGCTTTCCCCTCATGGGTGGCTGCAGACAGGGACAAGACCAGGACAAGGTCTTGGAGAGCCCCAGGCCCTGCCACTGAGCTTTCAGCAGCATCTCCCCATCCAGCTCTGGTCAGGCAAGTAAGTGTCCCTCTGTCCCCCCAAATGACATTCTCCCCTTGGCGTCTCTAGCTTCTGAGACAAGAATCAGTCTTAGCTATGACAGTGGCCCTCTCTGTTGGGCCAGAAACCCAGGTGGCCCACCTATGACACTGGCCCTTACTGTTGGACCAGCCACTAATCTGCTTTCTATAAGCCGCCCCTCACCCACTGTCTTCCAGGAGCACTATCCTGGGTGCCACACCTCCCAGGCCCAGGTGTCAGAGGTGACTGCCACACCTGGGGAACAGAGCTGGAGGTGTGGTGGGAGGATGGCAGGGATAGAGGAGGCTTTCTAGATGGATGCGGCCCTGCTTTCTGAATGCAGCATTCCTGGCTGTCCCAGCCTGGCTGCCACCTGAAATTCCCTATCGATGCTGGCAGATTCACCCCCAACACCACCTGGGCGTCCTGAGGCTAAAAGTTCAAGAGAGCCCTGGTGAGGTGTGCCAGAGTGTTCTGGCTGGTACCACGCTGGGCATATCTGACACTGCTTTCCCAGAAGGTTGTCACAGCCAACTCCTGGAATTGCCTTTGAACGTGGATGAACTCCCCAGGCCTAAGACCTGTACCTGTTTGTCCATGCTCCCTACCTTGACAGGTGCAGAGAGCCCTGTGGGTTCCTGAGATTTGGGGAAACAAACCGCAGGCTCTGAAAAATAAACCACAGAGAAATTATCAGGAGGCCCAGAGGAGCCCAGGGATTTCTGCCTTGCTCTGTTCTGAGAGTCCCTTGTTACTTGGCTTCCAGGGGCCTCAAAGGAGGCTCCTCTTCCTCACCCAGGACTAAAGCCCAAGTAAAGCAGAAACAAACCGGTGCCATAGGGGTCTCCAGAGGCTGTTCTTCTCTTTGGGTCACCTGCAGGGAGGGCCAAGGGAGAGTGGCTCCAACTCTCGGGGGACCTGCAGACACAGGGACAGGGCAAGGTAAATAGAACTCTGTGCAAGAAACAGGGAGAGAAGGGAAGGAGTGGCAGCAGGAGTCAAGGCGAACTTCAGGTAAGTAACTTTTTATTAGGAGAGCAGGACCTGGCTGTGCTGGTGGCTGGGAAAGGAGATGGGGACACAGCCTGCAGCAGATCTGCCATGGGTGGGCCTGACAGAGACACTGAACACTACAGCCAGTGGCCACCTGGAGTCCCAGCACGGCCACCTGCCGTCTGTCTATGGGGAAGGAGGCCTGGGCAGGCCCTACTGCCTCACTCCTTCCCAGCCCTGGCTGTGGACATACCCTGTGAGGAGGGGCCTGGCAGCTGGTATTTCTTGTTCTGTTGCTCCTGAGGTCCTTCCCACAGCTGCCTGATCAAGCCCCTGAGTGCTGGTGACAGGTTGGCTGAGGACAGCGCATGTTAAAGGTGAAGGTGACAGAAGGCCCAGGTTAGACTGGATGACCATGGCCGTGGATGAGCTCCCAGTGTGACACTTGTGGCACCCCTCTCCTCTTCCTGCTTCTCCTTGGCCTTCTGTTCCCACCCTCATCTTGGGGATTCTTCCAAGACTGAGCTCCGGGAATGTGTGGGCTGCCCTTCCCTTCCAGAACCACCTCCCCACCTTGGTGGCCATTAAGGCAGTGACTGTCCATGGACTGACAATGGCACGTCACACACACCGCAGTTAAGTTCAAGTTCAAGCCTGTCTCAGTCCACTAGCTCCATTCAGCCTTAAACCACAGCTCTGCCCAGTCACCCCTAGGACAGCTGCCGTCAGCTACTTTCATGTTATTTGCACCCCTCCCTGGGCTTGCAGGGCAGCAAGGGTCTTTCCTGTTTGGGTCACAGCTCTGCCCTTGGCTTCAGGTCAAAGTCAAAGTTGTTGCCATCATCACATTCAGCCCAGGGTGTGGTGATGTCCCTGTGCTCTCACACGGCTCTCCAGAGCATCTCCCTGCTTCTTCTGGACTCAGCCCTGCCAGGCCCTTTCACCTTCCTGCCCTCAGAGGTCACTCATACCCTGCCCCACCAGCTGGCTACTCTGTGGCTCCCTAGGATCTGTGTCTTGGCCACCACGTCTTCTCAGACATGCCCCAGAGCCGCGACCCTCTCTACCCACATGCACTTCAGTCACTTCAGCTGGGCTGACAGAAACACTGACAGTCACACACTGGGCTTCCCTTCCCAGCCGAGAATGCTGTGGACAGGGCCCTTGCTCAGGAGCAGAGGACGGCAGAACCTGCCACCTCAGGGCAGGTCTTCTCCTGCCTGATCCAGTAAGTCCCTGCTGCCAAGGCAGGGCGTGCCTGTCCACAGCCCCAAGCCCTCTAGCATCCATGCCTGGGTAGATGAGCAGCCCTCTCTGCTGTGCCCAACAGGAAGAGAAGCAGAGCTGAGAGTGGCCCATGGCATACTGCTGACATCTCCCACAGAGAATGTGGCAGGCGAGATGGGAAAGCTGGCCCTGGAGACCCTGCCTGGGCCTTCTCACAGATACAGCAGCCCAGGCCCATACCTGGCTGTCCCCACTGAGTTCGGACCCTTATAAGCCTCAGCATGCTCCTCTCTGGCCACACCCTGGGACTTCTTCCGAGACAAGACATGGCTCAGCCAATCCTCCTCCTCTCCCGCCTCAGACTCTCGCAGCTTGGAGGACTGGCTGGCTTGGGCAGATGGCCCTGTATTCTCTGCTGGTGGCTTTGACCCTGAGGAGGGCAGCCCAAATGGGGCAGAGTTTGGGTCTAGGGCTGAGTGCTGGCTCACAGGACCAGGTACAGAAGGTGTGGAGATTGCCAAGCCTCCCCGACAGGACTCTCGGGTGGGAGAGGGAGGAAGCAGGTCCAAGTCGTCATCCTTGAGGCCCAACCAGTCAGCTCCTCCCTTCCTGGGGGAGATTGGGCTGGAAGCTGCTGGAGGACTTTGTTTGGTGCCTGGTTCTCCCTTGGGGTCTGGGCCACCTTCTAAGACCCTGTTGCAAGACAGAAAGGACAGCATCAGGCAGGGGAGGCACCCTGTCCCAACAGCCCCTTGCCAGTCTTTCCCTCTGTTGTCGGGAGTACGGGAGGTGGGAGGGTGGACTATGAGGTCCACAGCAAGGAGTCAGAGATGCTCAGCAACTCTGCACAACCAACATGAGGCCCAATGAGCAGGCCCCTGGATTAGCTCCAGGGGCAGGGCAGTGGCATGCTCTATGCTATTTAAGGATGTGGCTCTGGGTGACGTGCTTGCCTAGCATTCATGAAACTCTAGGTTTGAATCCTAGAGTGGCAAAAAAATAAAAATAAAAAGGAATATTCTGGGACTGAGGGGCTGGGGACAATGAAGCTCAGTAGTAGAGCATGCGCATAGCATACGTGAGGCCCTGAATTCCATTCCCAGCACCAAGCGGGGGAAAAAACATTCTGGGATTGGGAAGAAAAATCCATGTGGAGTAGTTATGTAGCTGGAAAGAGAGGCCACAAGGCCAGGGCAGCAGAGCTGATCGTGTTGAGCCTGGTGAAGGGCAGGACGAAATTCTCTGTACTGTTCTTACAACTTTTCTAGAAGTGTGAAATTACTTCAAAATACAGTTTAACATATATACTGACAGAAAACAAATTCAGACAATTCCATCACTGATTTAATCTTCTGTTAAAAATCAGGAGGCTGATGGTCAGGGCCAAATCCAGGATCGGGCTTGTCTCCACCCTTCTGCTTGAACTGCTGGGACCAGGCAGCCTTCTCTCCCTTCAGCACCCACAGAGCCTTACACCCTGCCGCCCCCCACAGGGCTGTCAGGTAGGATGGGGAGAGCTGCAGGGACCTGCCTTTCCAGAGGCTGGCCTCCCCAGGCCCTGCTTACCTGACAGACTGTCGCCGAGACTGTGGACCCTCGGAGGAGCCCACAGTGGGCTGGTAGGCCCCAAAGATGAGGTCCTCGTTGTCCCAGCTATCTTCTTCTTCTTTGTCTGTAAAATAAGGGGCTTGTGACCATGATCTAGAGCAGGGGAACTGGCAGCCCTACATATAAGAGAAGCAGAGTGGGGTTGCTCGAGAGGAAGCCCTTCGGACGCATGAGAACATCCGGGGACTGTGGAGACACATGGCCAAGCCCTGCCCACCTCCCTTAAGGTCAGGCCCAGAATGCTGTGTTTCACAAGAACAAATCTCAACAGATGGCTGGTGGGATGATGCTTTGAGAAACACTGGTCCTGAGAAATTTTTAAGACACGAGCTGCTGCCTATCAAGACGGCGAAGCCAAGTATGGTGGCACATGCCTGTAATCCCAGTGGCTCGGGAGGCTAAGGCAGGAGGATTGAGAGTACAAGGCCAACCTCAGCAAAATCGAGGTGCTAAGCAACTTGGTGAGACCCTGTCTCCAAATAATATAAAAAATAGGGCTGGAATGTGGCTCAGTGGTTGAGTGCCCCTTGAGTTCAATCCCCAGTACCCTAAAAAAAAAAAAAGAAAGAAAGAAAAAAGAGGGTAGAGAAACCAACTTAAATAGTAATTCATAATCAGATAGCATGTATATAAAGCAACAGGATGTTGGACAGGATAAGGGTAAGAGTTATCTCTTGACACTTCTGTCTCCGTTACAGACGTGTTGATCATGTGTATGTGTCATGACGACATGTCATGGTGCCAGTGTGGTAGAGACCAGGTTTAGAGGTGCCTTCCCCTTCCCTCCTGTCCCATCCTGCCCCTTGGCTTCCTCACCCTGTGGTTTCTGATATTTTTTGTCTAGTTTGAACTCTCTGTGTTGTCCGGGACTCGGATGAGCTAGGAGTTTTGAGGCTGTGCTTCGACCCAGCAGTTCATCCAGCTTGGAGCGAGCAGGGCGGGGCCCTTCCCTGCAGGATGGGATGTGGGGAAGGAATTTATGGCAAGGAGGCTCCCAGGGGGACCACACTGTCCCCTCTCTTGAGCTTTTCTTGAGGTGGCACCACAGCCAGGATCCTCCACTCATAATCATCCTTACTGGTTACCCATCTGTCTCTTCTCTCCCTTGGGGCTGTCTCCAAACCCCAGGGTGGCCATGATGTCGTCCCCATCATCAAACAGCAACTCCTTCTTTCGGATGGGAGTGTCCCCAGGAGTTAGAGGAATACAGGGACCTAGGAGACAGAACCAGGATCCAGGCCTCATAGACTTCTTGCTCTCTATCATGACTGATGGGCCAGGAGGCGGGTAACAGGTTTACCTGTCTGGTTGGCCTATAGGACCTGACTCCCCCACACTCCTAGGCCCATGCTTCCCGCTCCCTGCTTCTGGAGACTGATAACCTTTTCTGGACTTGAGACCTGTGGTCCCACCCTGCTGAGATTCCACACCAGAAAGTTCAGTAAAATTGTCTGTTTTCAACAGACTCTGCCCCCAGGATGAGGAACAAGCTCCTCCAAATCACCTTGCTCTCTGACTGGGATGGGACTTCTGTTGGAAGCTGTTTTACTCTCTGTCACAGGTGGCTTCTTGGCAATGTCTTCTTCCTCATCAGAGAGAAGTCCTGCCAATGGGTCTTCCAAGTCTCAGAGCCAAAAGGGAAAGCAGAAGTTAGACTGTAGCACTTTGTCCAAGAAAAACAGACCTGGGGCTGGGGCAGCTACCCCCAGAACACGAACAAGCTCTTTAGCACTGCAGGGAACAGCCCACTGCAGGAGGCTATGACACAGAGACAAAGCTCGCACAGGGGGCGGTGGGCAACTCTGACTCTACTAGCTAGCTGCAGGGGCTCCTGGAAATGTCCCAAAGGGATCAGAAGAGAAGTAGAGCACTGTGTAGATTTTCCTACACTTCAGAAAGTCTGCACTTTGATACCTGGTTTCCAAGTCCTTGCAAGTAAGTTCCCCAGATGCCCTGGCCAATACAACCCAGCTCACCCCTCCTCTAGGACTGACATCAGGATACCAGCTCTCTGCTCCTCCTCTGATACACAGACTTGACCTCAGGCAAGCAGCAAGCATTACCCTGGCTACTCCCAAAACCGAGTGTCTAGGAGCAGAGCTAGGGTCTCTGGTACCTCCAAAGGAAAGCTTCCTGTACTGATGCCCAAAGCTGCTGGGAGAGGTGGTTGGCTGCTTGGTGGCAACTGTGTCCCCTAAAGGAAAAAGAGAGAGAGAGAGAGAAATTGTGGGACTAGGTCTTTCCTGGCTGAGGTCCTCCTCCACACCTTGGACTAGCGACCTGGGTGGGGGATACTTCATCCTAGGAAGCCTGAGCCCGTGGGCACAGGCACAGCCATGGAAGCGTCCATACCCATTTTCACCCAGGCTTCTGGCAGGGAAATGTGGTAAGAGGCCTGCTGTCAGCCCCTTGTCATGCATCACTCCAAACAGACAGGGAGCAGGGATTGGGGAGCAGGGAGAGGCAGAAGCTACCGTGCAACTTTCCTTTTTAAAAAGAAATTATTATTCTCAAAGGTGCTGTGAATCAAACCTAGGACCTCATGTGGTCAGGCAAGTGCTCTACCACTGAGCTACACCCAGACCCCACTTTCCATTTTAACTGGAAAAGCTCCTTGAGGAGCTGCACATGTTGAACTTAGAGGAAATGGAACCACCCCCTACCCACCTAACACACACACACAGAGGCACAATTAGCCTTGGCCTCTCTGTCCCAAGCTCAAAAAACCCACAGGACATGTGCGTCCTTCTAAGCACCTCTGAGGTACTGTCCTCCACTCACCCTTCTCACCAGCTGCGAGCCTGCTGGCAGGTCTGGGATTGCTAGGCAGCTCCTCTTTCCCAGAACCCTTGGTAGCTGTTTTGCCAGAGGCTGGATGAGACTTCTTCAAACCCAGGATATCGGCGTCCATGTCATCTAGATCCTAGACAATAGGACGGTGGGGCACAATGCCTGGGGAGATGCTGTGGTGTGTGCTCAGTGTCCCCCTAAGTCTGTGTGAAAGGCTTGGCCCCAGAGTGGTGGTCTTAGAAGGTGGGGCCTTGTGCAAAGTCCATAAGTAACTGAGGACCTTGAAAGGGACTGTGGGACCGCCATTCTCTTTCTTTGCTCCAGTTCCAAATGTGACCATTTGCTCCCACACATGTTCCTGCCATGATGTGTCACCATCTGGCACCCTCACCTCACCTCATTGGTGAGGTCAAACCAAACCAATCCCCGCCTCCACCTCATATTGGACGCTGAGCTTCCAAAACTGTGAGCTAAATAATCCTCCTCTCTTTATAAGTGAGCCGTCTTGGGTACTTTGTTGCAGTAATGTAAAGTTGGTAGTCAGAATGGGAGGAGGGGTTCTAGCTAAGGAGGGGGCAGGCACCTGGGGACGAACTATGAGAGAACAGAGGAAAATAAAACCCTGTTGAGAAAAATAGTGAGTTAGGAAAGAAAACGGAACTGAAGGTGAGCAGAGTGGAGTCAGGGGCCAGGCTCATGGTCTGGGAATAGGAGATTCAAAATCTCCATCAAAAACAGAATCAGAGGACCTGAGGGTCATGCCTGGGACTATGGCCAGCTGGCCTGGGGGAGAAAGATTTCAGACTGAGGTTAAAGAAGCTGAATCTAGAGCCAAGAAGGGAATGGATGCCAATTCTTTCGAGCTCTACAGGGATGGAGCCAAGAGCTCGGCCTTCACCCAGAGACTGTGACAAAATGGGGTAAATGGCTGGGCCATGAAGCCTGGAGTCAGAGGGCAGGCTGCTGCTGGCTGTAGGTGAGGGACAACCAAGCCCCTGAGCACTGTGTGATCATATTCTTACACATGGTTCAGAATTTATGTCTTAAGATTCCAGTGTAAAAAGATCAGCTCTGGGCTGGATGTGACGAAAAGGGGATACTAGTTAGCAGGGACGTGGACAGAAAAGGTTAAGAGAAAAAGTTAAGGACAGGTCAAGAATAGGCTTTAGAGGGGACGTGATCTCCAGGTGAGTCTCCAGGTGGAGGCCAGCCCCATTTAATCAGAGGCCTGTGGTATAGACTTTCCAGTCTCCAGATAGCAAGAAAACTCATTATACGCAGGGGAGCAAAAGGGCAACAGTTCGGAGGAGAAGGTACTGGGAATAGAATTGACCAAAGTGTGTTACATACATGTATGAACCTGTAACAAAGAATCATACTATTATATGTATATTATATGTATAATGCATCAATAAAAATTAATTTAAAAGAAGGGTAATAGCTCAGGGGTTCCTCTGTTCTTGCACTAGGAGAGGGTCAGAAATATAGGTGGAGCCAAATGCAGTGGTGCACGCCTGTAATCCCAGCAGCTCAGGAGGCCGAGGCAGGAGGATCATGAGTTCAAAGCCAGCCTCAGCAACTTAGTGAGACCCTAAGCATTTCAGTGAGACCCTGTCTCTAAGTAAAATACAAAATAGGGCTGGGGATGTGGTTCAGTGGTTAAGTGCACCTGGGTTCAATCCCCGGTACCAAAGGAGACATTAGAGGGAGAACACAGCCATGGTATAAGGCATCAGTGTCCTATCCCAGCCCACCCCTGGGGCCTGGGAACTGTTTCCCTACCTTCATGGTCTGCAGCAAGGCCTGCGGGTCTGCCTCTGACACATCGGAAATCTAAGTCCACAGGAGGCAAGGATGCAGATGAGAGGCACATTAGTCAAGGCCCAGTAGCACTAAGGGATCTAGCCCCTGTTAGCTTGCTTCTTTGGGAGTAGGTGGCTTAGCAGTGGTACAGCTTAGACAATAGGCATAAACAGAAGGGTCCCTTGCCCTCTACCCTTGGGGCTCAGCTGTAGTGAAGTTAAACTTGCCCAGCTGTGGAGCCCCGTAAAGTGCTGCCACTTTCTGTTCCTCCCAGTGGAGAAGTCACTTCCATCACAGGACCTGAGCTTTACTGCTTCCCAATCATGTGACCAGACCATGTGGAGCTTCTTACAGGAAGGGCAACATCCAGCTCCCACAGTTGCAAGAGGCCTACCTTCTAGCTCATGGTTCTGGTTGGTCCATGTGGCAGCCCTTGGGCATTGTTTTGCTTTAAGAACAAAGTGACTTTGCCAGGATTTCTACACACTTCTGTGAGAGGCTCCTTGGCCACCATACCAATCTCACTGTTCTCAGGGATAAGCAGAGAGGCTAAGGACTGGGGACTGGGCCAGGCTCACCTCAGCATCAGCTTCTACCAGGGTATCAAAAATATTGTCATCCAGGAGGGACCTGCAAAGAGATTGCTGCAATCAGCACTAACCCCTCTACCTGGTCAGGTTATTCTAAAAAATGGAGAGGGGAGAGCTTAGTGGTAGAGCATATGGTTGGCACATATGAGGCCCTCAGTTCAATCCCAGCACCACCAAAAAAAAAAAAAAAAAAAAAGAGGGGCTTAGAGAACTTGGAGAGATTTCTCCAAGAGGACAAATATGCAAAAAGGAATTCATGAGCACCTAGTGCAGTGATTTTCTTTCTTTCTTTCTTTTTTTTTTTAAGTGATAGAGACCTTTTAAAACCAAACTGTTAGAAACAAAAGGAGGCTGGGGATGTAGCTCGGAGATAGAGCACTTGCCTAGCATGTGTGAGGCACTGGATTTAATCCTCAGCACCACATCAAAATGAATAAAAGACCATCAACACCTATAACTAAAATATTAAAAAAAAAAAAAAAAAGGAAAGAGGAAGACAACTGCTGTAGCTAAAATGAAGGTAGAGGGTGGAGCACAACAAGGTTCCTCCCTTATTGCTCATCTGTCAGGAGAGTGAACACAACTTGAAAATCACTGATCTGGGCCAATCCCCTTATTAAGAAAATTTAAGCTCAGACAGGTTCAGGAACTGCTCAATTAACAGATAAGGGACCAGAAGGCTTGGCTTCTGACTTCCAAGTCAGTTCTCCTTCACTCCTCTAGGGCCCTTCAATAACTGGAAGTTAAGGAAAGAGGGTAGAAGTTCCCGACCTCAGCAGCAGGCATGCACCAGTGGGAAGTGGGCTGGATGGGCCACGATCCCTAGGCCGCCCCAGTACTCACCTTGCTCTGCTCTTTGAAGAAGGGAGCCCCTGAGGTGCACGTGTGGAGCCTCTGGCATGTGAAGCTAGTTCAACAGGCTTCTCAGGTAGTGCCACTGGAACAAGGGATGACGGAAGAGAAGTTGTTCAGTTACAGAGAACCAAGTTGAGATGAAAAGGATGTCAAGTGCCTGCATCCAGCTGTCTCCCTGACCTTCCCAAGGAAAGAAGGGCAGTTTGGAGGAAGGAAACTGGTGCCAGAGACAGGTCTCAGTGCTTACCTTGGGGAAAGGAGTGGTATATTTCCAAGGAAGAAGTCAACCCTAGACATCAGTGTGTGTCACATGAAGAGCTCAACCCAAGCCAAGCCAACTGCACCCCCGGGTTGGCAGAGGGCACCTGACTTTGTGAGTTCTCCTTGCCAAGTGGGGGAGGCTAAGCCTCACTGTCCCCAGTGAACTTTGCCCAACCCAAAGCCCTGCTCCTCAGCACAGCAACACAGACACAAAGGGTAAGGGGCCAGTCTTCAGAATATATCAGGAACTGCTACAACTCAACAAGGAAAAGCCAAAGAACCCAGCTAAAAATGGGCAAAGATCTGAACAGACACTTCTCCAGAAAAGGTAAACAAATAGCCAATAAACACCTGAAAAGATGCTTGCCATCATGAGTCACTGGTGACATGCATGTCAAGGCCACAGTGAGATACACACTCTACACTCCCAAGGATGCTTATGAGCAAAAGGGTGGGAAGCACTGGCAAGGACATGGGGAAACCAGAACCCCCTCACGCTGCTGCGGGGAAGACACAAAGACAGCTGCAACGGAAAGCAACTGGTGGTTTCTCAAGAGCAAAACACAGAGTTACCATAAGGCCCAGCAAGTCCACTCCCAGGTTATACTTGAAAGAACTGTAAGTACACACAAAAACCTGTCCACAGCTGTGCACAGCAGCATTATTCATAGTAGCCAAAAATGGAATAACTAAATGTCTTTCACCTGATGAATGTGGTATACCTGCCCTATGGACTATTCTCTAGCCATAAAAAGAAACGAGAAGGAGGCTTGGTGGGAGGCTGAGGTAGGAGGATTCCAAATTTAATTGCCAGCCTGGGTAACATAGGGAGAACCTGTCTTAAAATAAAAACTTAAAGGGCTGGGGATGTGGCTCAAGTGGTAGTGCACTTGCCTGGCATGCGCAAGGCACTGGGTTCGATCCTCAACACCACATAAAGATAAAATAAAGATATTATGTCCACCTAAAACTAAAAAATAAATATTAAAAAAAAATAAAAATAAAAACTTAAAAAGCTGAGGATGTTGGGCTAGGGATGTGGCTCAGTGGTAGAGTGCTCACCTAGCATGTGCAAGGCCCTGAGTTAAATCCTCAGCACCACATAAAAACAAAATAAAGATATTGTGTCCAACTACAACTAAAAAATATATTTAACAAAAAAAGTTGAGAATGTGGGCTGGGGTTGTAGCTCAGTGGTAGAGCACTTGCCTGGCATGTGTGAGGCACTGGGTTTGATCCTTAGCATCATATAAAAATAAACAAAATAAAAGTATTGTGTCCATTTACAACTAAAAAAAAAGAAGAAGAAGAACATTCATCCAGGTGTGATGGTGCACACCTGTAATCCCAGTGGCTCTAGATGCTGAGACAGGAGGATCTTGAGTTTAAAGCCAGCCTCAGCAAAAGTGAGGCACTAAGCAACTCAGTGAGACCCTGTCTCGAAATAAAATACAAAATAGGGCTGGGGATGTGGCTCAGTGGTTGAGTGCCCCTAAGTTCAATTCCTGGTACTTAAAACAAACAAACAACAACAACAACAAAAACTGGAGATGTAGCTCAGAGGTAGAGCATCCTTAGCAAACTGGAGGTCCCAGATTCAATCCCAGTACCTCAAAAAATAAATGAATAAGTAAATAAGAATGAGGTACTGATACATGCTGAAATGTGAATGAACTTTGATAACATCATGCTAAGTGAAAGAAGTCTGAGGCAAAGGCCAGATTCTGTATGGTTCCATTTTATACAAACGTTCAGAACAGGAAAATCTATAAAGACAGAAGAAATAAATGGTGGCCTAAGATTGGGGAAGGAGAGTGAGGACTGACTACTAATGGGCATGGAATTTATTTATAGGGTGATGAAATGTTCTGGAATTAGATAGTGGTGATGTTCTAATATTTTAAATGCCACTGAATTGTACACTTTTAAAGAGTAAATTTGAAGCTAGGTGCAGTGGTGCATGCTTGTAATTCCAGCAACTTTGGAGGCTGAGGATTGAAAGTCTGAGACCAGCCTTGGCAACTCTGTGAGACTCTGTCTTGAAAAAAAGGCAGAGGGTGGCTGAGGATATGGCTCAGTGGTAAAGTGCCCCTGGGTTCAATCCCATACCAGATTAAAAAAAAAAAAAAAAGTAAATTTTATGGTCTGGCCTGTGAATTAAAGGGCACTTACTATCATCTCCCAGGAGGTCACCAAGGACTTCATCGATGGAGCCTGGAACAGAAAAGGGCTAGCATGACTTAGGAAGGAAAGAAGGATAGTGTTTACAAACCTCGAGTCTTGGGACTCCCCCAAGACCCTGGTCTCTCAATGCTGGGTCATGTGTGGCTCTGCCTTCACTGGCCTTGGTGTATTTTCTAACCCTCTGGCAAAGTCACCACACTTTGTTGAAATACCTCAAATATAAATTTAAATTAACTTTCTCGGGCTGGCGCTGGGGCTTAGTGGTAGCACACTTGCCTGGCATGTGTGAGGCATTGGATTCGATCCTCAGCACCGCATATAAACAAACACATAAAATAAGAAAAAAAACTTCAATTAAAATAACTTTCTCAAAGGATGCTGGTGAAGCTTTTCGGTAGAACCTCCTTTCAACTTGCCTCCCCCACAACACACTGGCCAACATTCAGTGTTCTGGACTCTGAAAAGTCCAGTATGAGTCTTTGGGAAAAGCATCCAAATTTCTAGGCACATGCAAGCTTCTTTCATGCCAACAGCTTCCTTGACACACCCCCCTCAGTGGTCTGGACACACCTTCCCTGGCCACTTCCTGAGTGAGCATGTTGGGGAAACCCAGGTCAGAACACTGAATCAGTTCTCCCACTTGGCGAAAGTGCCTTTACCACACTTAACCCCAATCAGGTCGCCTGAATACAGGAGCCAATGAGAAGAATTTCTTCCAAAATCTCATTTCTTTTCTTCTTCTTCTTCTTCTTTTTTTTTTTTTTTTTGGTGGTGTGGGAGATGGAACCAACACACAAGGCAAGTGCTTTACCACCAAGCTAACCCCCAGCCCCCAAAACCTCATTTCTTATTTATTTCTGAATTTCTCTTAAGAGCCCAAAAGGCAGAATACTGAGTCCCTAGGAGCACACAGGCTGCCTGAGGTCTTAAGGGAGAAACAAGACTCTCACCAAGAACATTTAAACAGACATGTCTACGTTGTGTTGGTACCAAAGGGAAAAAAAGAGACACACTGGCTTAAGGGTAATGTTCCATCTCTACTGACCTTTCAGTCCCTTCTTGGTTTTGGATGCCTAAAAATGGGAAAAACAAACAAACAAACAAACAAACAAATACACACACACATTAACAAAATCAAATGGTGAACTTGTGTTGAAGCTAGAAAAGAAGAATAGTTTTGCTTTAGGAAGAAACACCAATGGCATTTTCAGACAGAATTTCCTTTATGTTTTCTTGTGTCTGACAATGGACTTATTCAGAACATAGCAAGACCCGCCACTAAGCAGCAGTGGCACCCATAAGCAGCAGAAATTTCTTCTTTTCCCTGATTTCCAAATACCACATGCAAACCCTCACAGCTGGGATACAATATGACTGAAAATGTTTCTTTCTATTCCATGAGCCTGAATCCTCAGTACTACTGATGGTTACTTAAAAAATGCTCCCAGCTGCTGAGTGTGGTGGTGCATGCCTATAATCCCAGAGACCTGAGAAACTGAGATAGGAGGATTACAAGTTTGACTCCAGCCTCAGCAACTTAGTGAGGCCCTAAGCAACTTGGCAAAACCTTGTCTCAAAATAAATAAATAGATACATAAATAAGACAGGGGATGTTGTCAGTGGTAAAGTGCCCCTGGGCTAAATCCCCAGGACCAAAAAAAAAAAAGAGCTCCCAGTTGGGCTAGGGATGTAGCTCAGTGCTAGAGCTCTAATCTTGGGTATGTGAGGTCCTGGATTCAATTCCTAGTATCACAAAACCAAAAATGCTTCCAGCTGTACATTCAGAAGCTCAGGAGAAAACCTGCTCTAGTTTAAGTCTGAGAACTTGATATCAATGCTTTTTCTTATCACTCTTCTCTGGGGATCACATCCTGGTCCTTGCCATGCATCTCCCAAAGCATTCTATACAGTCAAGATTTGGGGGGCCCACAGTGGGGTGAAGGGATGGCGTTCGCATTCCTACACATCTTCCTATGCCTTTTGCTTACCATATCAGGGATCTTGGGGGCTGCTTGAAGGTCCTTCACAGCACTGTCCAGCTCATCTGAATTCTGCCCACATCAGGTTCATCCTCCCTGATGAACAAAATTGAAGTGGTTGCTTAAAAACAACGTAGCTTTAACAGAGCTTGACTCCTAGGGTTATCAAGGTTTCTTCCACTTTATTCATTCAAGGGGACAAAATCTACTTCCATACATTAAAAGATTCTTATGGGAGGCTGGGAATGGTGCCTGTAATCCCAGCAATTTGGGAGACTGAGGCAAGAGGATTCCAAGTTTGAGGCCAGCCTCTGCAATTTAGAGAGGGCTTAAGCAACTTGGTGAGAACCTGCATCAAAATTAAATAAATAAATAGGGCCAGGGATGTGGTTCAGTGGTAAAGTGCCTCTGGGTTCAATACCCAGTAACCCCCCCAACCCCCCCCCCCCAAAATTTCCTTATGGGAAAGTGATTCAGATGAGAAGCAAAGTATTCTGGATAATACGTGTTCTGAATAATTGAACAAAGTGCAGTGGTCAGTGTCCTTACACTAAAAAAGGATGTGGAAAATGACAGGGACCCACTTCAGAAAGATGGGTGTCTGGAAAGGTGGCCAACTCCCTTCCCAGACAACATTCAAGATTACTTTCTAGACAGCATTGGGCACAAAGCGCAGGCTGTGTTCTTTGGTTACCCCTTGACTCGATTTTCACTGATGGTGGAAGATTTCCCCTCACCTTAGCTGTACCTGGAAGTCTTCCTCAGAATTACCTGTCTCCCTCCAGCTCCTCTTTACGGAAACCCACCTTCGCCACGCCAGGTTAGAAAGGAGTCAGAGGCGGTCATGTCTGTTTCCCGGGTGTTGGCCTGTCCTGGTTTTAGAATGTCACGTTTATATATAGGGGTTTGGGACAAAGGCCACTTGGAATGCTTGTGTTTTTGTTCCTTTGCAGTGGCAACTTCAGCGACCCACAGGTCCAAACGCGTTTTGCTCATAACAGGGGCAGAGGGAGACTTCTGTCCCAGCTTCCCAGGCGGCGGGAATTTTCTAGGAGAGGTTTGTAAAGGCCCAAGGGCTCCAGAGCAGCGTCGCGTCAACGCGTCTACTCGGCCAGGTCCACGTCAGGCATTTTTTTAAGCCCCGAGCCCACCCAAGCCAGAGCTCTTCTCAGGGTCCCTCGTCTGTGACACTGCGTGCTCAAAGCGTCGCCCCGGCGCGCCCAGCCCGTCCCGACCCGAGCACAGCCTGCAACCCCCAAGCCCCTAAGGTCCCTGTTACACGCCGTCCGCTCGCAGGCCCGGCCGTGGGGACCTGGTTGGGCCAGAGCCGCTGATTACGGTCTCACTCAGCCCGAGCGACGCAGCCAGGCCTCCCGCTCCCGGCCGCGCCGTCGCCAAGGGGCTTCAGGCAGCGCGAGGCATCCTGGGAGTTGTAGTCCTCGCCCGTTCACCCGAGGACGGAGGCTCCCAGAGTCACGCTTCCCAGCGTGCACCGCGGCGAGCCCGTCCGGGACTCCGCGCGTTGCTAGGCGCTGCCAGGCGCTGCCAGGCCGCCACTTGGGGGAGGGACACGCCCGCTCTCGGCGCTGGGAGGCAGAGCATTCTTTGTCCTGCGCTCTGCGGAGGACTCACTAGTGGCGGGGTAGGGACCTGAGAAACGTGTTGGCGGGTGAATCCTTAAGTAAATTTTGTACTTATCCCACGCCCAAAGCTTGAAGGGAAGTGACTGTGACTTTCCTGTTCATTGATCAAAGTTGCGCAGCCAGGGTGAAACCCAACACCATTACCCAACAAAAAAGACAAAAACTTTTTCTTGTCTGTGCTTTTTATTTAGGGTTATTCAGTTTCACAAAGCAAAATAGGAGTAGTGGTTTGGCTTACTCCCAGATCAAGCAATACTGGAGGGTCATTGCTATCCCATGATTCCCACTCCCACCCCCACAGGATGGTCAAGCCAGGGTTGAGTACGAATTCCAGCTAAATGCAGATTAAGTAGGAACCAAGCTTAAACCAGTCATTTAGTTGAATCCATAGCTACTGGAAATTAGATGTTTACCAACGAGTCAGCAGTCGGAATATTATGTTAAAGATCACACATGTGCTACCTAGAAATCATCTTATGAAACAGTCAACACTATTGTACCAAAACATTTTTTTTTTTTACTGAGAATTCTTGAAATTACTCCTAATTGTCCTTACAGTCCCAAGACAATCAATGGCTCACTTAAATTTAAGGCAAAACAAGGGATGATGCAGTAGCTCAGTGGTGGAGCACTTGTTCAACATGTGTGAGGTCCTGGGTTCCGTCCCTAGCACTAGAAAAAAATTAGACAAAACATCCTGAATCTTGGGATCTGCAACCAGTAAGTGGTTTGTAACCCTAAAGCAAAACTCATTATATATTCATACTATCTATCATAGATCACATGACTAGGCACTGAAAAATTTTGTGTGGACAATTGTAAGCAGAACCCTACCACCACTATTTTAATTTAATTACAATTACTTCATTAAATTCATTTATTTTAATCATATAAGAACACAGTACTGAATGCTAGCTGATTTACAACTGCATCATTTCATGAAAACCATCAAAACTTATCTAAAAAGAATCAACAAGTCTTGGTCTCGGGCTCAATTTCCAAGCATAGTTACTGCTTGAAGACAATCTGTAATTCCAGGTGTTCCCTCCACATATATAAAAGTTGACTGGTGTTACAGACCATGTGCAACTAATTCACTTCCTTCCTAATAAGATGGATGGGAAGAACTCAGAAAAAGTGGGGGG